TCCCTCTGCCTGCTCTGCCTGATGCTCCCCACCTCTCTCTGTCAAATAAAAAAAAAAAAAAAGAAAGTGGAATCAGGAGTAGTGAGGGAACAGCAGTGAGATCATAAATTCAAGGGTAGGACAGTGGCAGGAGGGGATAGCACTTTGTAAGCTAAACCTCTCAAGTTCAAAGGGCAATGATTGTAAGGGACGAGGAAGATGGAACAAATGGACCAACACTAATAAGACTTAACGTAGCTAATGTAGGAGTGGAGTCAGAGGTAACCCTGGGGTCACAGGCCTGAACAAGCTGTCAAGATCTGAAACTGAGGAGGGTGTGAGGGATAGGAAGAAGCGTTCGGTGGCAGCATCAGATCCACGTCTGAGCCCTGGTGAGAGGCTGGACCTTCGGTTCTAGGGGTTGCTGACTCCCACGGAGAGGGCCTAATGGCCAGTCATGACATTTGGAATAGTTAGGTGCTTTGAGCTCCTGGAAATTCAGGTAGTCTCTGAATCTTCTTGGTAGCCTGTAAGCAAAAATCTGTGCTCAGTTAGAGTTTTTAATCAGGTGTTTGTTAAGAAAGGTCTCCATGATGTGTTTGAGTTCCCAAGCAATGGGAGTTGTAGCCCATGGGTCTGCTGGGCCTGCTGCTACAAAGTTTGGAATGGGGGGCTTGCAGATGATTGGGTGCCCTCTTCACTGAAAATGTCTGGTTAAGGCTGCTTGGCCTCAGCTGTCCCCTTGACTGTTGTTTGGGAGAAAGCTATTGCCCAGATGCATCCCCCTTATGGAGTGGCTATTTTTTTTTTTTAATGATTTTTTTTTTTTAAGATTTTATTTATTTATTTGACAGAGAGATCACAAGCAGGCAGAGAGGCAGGCAGAGAGAGGAGGAAGCAGGCTCCCTGCTGAGCAGAGAGCCCCATGCGGGGTTCGATCCCAGGACTCTGAGATCATGACCTGAGCCGAAGGCAGCGGCTTAACCCACTGAGCCACCCAGGCGCCCCTGGAGTGGCTATTTTTGAACATGCCTTTGGAAAGGCCCTTGCCCAGCCTCAGTAACTCTCCCTACTTGGACGTCCTTGTTTTCTGTCCCAGGATATCCTCTTTGATGCAAATACACACAAAGTGAAGAAGTTTGTCCTACACACGAATTACCCTGGGCATTATAATTTTAACATGTGAGTATACCTATACCTGCCCCTCCCAAGAACTGAGCTTTGGGTTGAAAATTCCCAAGAAAAGAGAGCTTGTGGCTTTGAGTATTCACTAATTTGTACCTGAATTCTTATAGTTTCGTGGGAAATGAACATTTCCTTAGCGTTTGCTCTGTTCCTGGTACAGTGTTAATTCCTTACGTCTCTCCATTTGTACCCATTTTACAGATAGGGAAGTAGGTTCAAAGAGCTTGGTATCTTATCCAAGATGACAGGGTCTTCAGACCCCAGAGCCAGGGCTTCGGGGGTAGGCTCATTCTGTGTTTGCTGGGGTATGGGGTTGAGACGTGTGGGTAGTCAGGCCTCTATGGGCCCAGCCTTTATCCATCTGGCTTCTCTCTCTAGTTATCACCGCTGTGAGTTCAAGATCCCACTAGCCATAAAGAAAGGTGAGTAGTGAATATCCTCAGAGTAAGAAAAGGGTTTTGAAGTTAGTCTTTCATAATGTAGAGACACAGTGATCCAAACAGAAATTGTAGCAGGAGCCTTTGCCCACCTGCTTTGCCCATAGCCTCAGCTCCTCTGGCTTGGGCTCTGTGTTCTGGGGGCTGCATTTTGCTTGGCCTATGGTTTCCTGTAGGCTCTCGTGGTTTTTTCCTATGATCATGGGATTGCCGGTCCCTGATGGGGAGAATTTCCTACACATGATTATCCAGGTACTCCCAGATCAGCCTTATTACTACTGTTCCCTGCTGGTTCTCTACCCTCTTTCATTCAGGAACTCTGAAATAGCCCATCCGTCCTCCTTCTGAACTCCCAACCCCAGTGCACAGGGTGGCCAGGTTTGGATTCTGCCTAGGGCTGGGGTCACAGGTAGGCTAGGCCAGATACCATCCCACCCGGTGTTCTCTTTTCAGAAAATGCAGACGGTCAGACAGAAACATGCACAACCTACAGCAAGGTGAGCTCCTATTTTCCCACCTCATGTAGCCCCAAACTGAGGTGGGTGTGAGCCTGCCAGCAGTCTGGGGCCCATGTCTTCTGGGCCAGCCATTGGTCACGGGCATGACTAGGTCCCTGCTAATCCCTTATTGACCCCATCCCTTTTGCAGTGGGACAACATCCAGGAGCTCCTGGGCCACCCTGTGGAAAAACCTGTTGTCCTACACAGGTGAGTGGGAGGCTGCTAGCTCTGACCACCCCATCCTGCTCCTCACAGCCCAGAAGACTTAAGGAAGCCTAGCAGTGCCTGGGGCTTAGAAATGACAGAAGTTTCTGTTGTTGCCACACATATATTTCCCGCCCCCCCATCCTGCACATTACCACCGGACCAGCTGTTCTGCATGTTCACCTGCACCAGAGAGGTTTCCCCCTTGGGGATAGCTCACCTCTCCAGGTAGGGGGGCCTTTCACCCCTGGTTGTTCAGAAAAGGAAGTTTTCAAGCTGTCCTGGGCTCTTTTTTCCCCATTAAATTTGCCACATGCTGTAGTCTACCCAGTTGCCATGCTGCCTGAGGCTCCTCCCTCCTAACTTGCCACTCCAATCTCACTGTGTAATAACTTCCTGTGCCTCATTGGACTGTGTAGGATTCAGAGCTTGAATGATACCTATCACTACCCCTGGTACCTCAAGGGCCGTGTGAGAAACAGACAGTCATGAGAGACCACTGGCCAGTATCCCCCATCCCAAAAGGGACTGGATGCCCTGCCTGGCCTCAGCTTCTGTCTGCACCTCTAATTCTGGCTTCTCTGGCCTCAGGTCTTCCTCCCCAAACAACACCAACCCATTTGGCTCTACATTCTGCTTTGGTCTTCAGCGGATGATCTTTGAGGTAAGCCCTCTGGGTTGAGGGGCTGGTGGCCATGGCAGGGACAGGCAAGTGATAGAGAAAGGTTGGGGAGGGCCTAACAGCCCTGCTGGGTGAGTTAATCCTTCCCCAGTAACCCTGTCTGCTAAGATCTGACCTGCCCATAATGAACAGTAAGAGTACGGAAACTATTTTGGGGAAACTCTAGGTCATGGAGGCTAAAGCGGTAGTCTGTATCCAACAAGATGACAGGTAACAGGGATCCCACATATGTGAGAATGTAAATATGGTCGGAAAGAGAACTCCAGGGAGCAAATGGAGCTCAACATGGGAATGTTGGGGATCTGTGAATGCCATGTGAAAGAGTGTGCTGTGGGTGAGTAGCCTTAGAGGCCCCACTGGCTTGGCAGAATGGGCTGTCCCTCTTCTCCCTTTTGGATGCTACACCTTCACTAGGCCCCCAGCAGTTCCAGAAGGACTGGATCAGTAGGTATGGTGAAGTTTATGTATCCCAGGAAGAGCAGGCAGTTGCTGGACCAGAGGTGACTCCTAGCATGAGTTGGGGGATGTTGAGGGATCAGACCAGCCCTGTGCGCAGGTGTGTTGCACACACAACATCCATCCTTTACGCACAGGAGCTGCCCCAAATCCCTTCTCTGCAGTCACAGCCCTAGTACTGGTGGGTTTTGTTTTGTTTTTTTGTTTTTTGTTTTTTTAAGATTTTATTTATTTATTTGTCAGAGTGAGCACAGGCAGACAGAGTGGCAGGCAGAGGCAGATGGAGAAGCAGGCTCCCGCTGAGCAAGGAGCCCGATGTGGGAATCGATCCCAGGATGCTGGGATCATGACCTGAGCCGAAGGCAGCAGCTTAACCGGCTGAGCCACCCAGGCGTCCCAGTACTGGTGGTTTTTGTGGATCTGATTGCCTACCATGCCTACATCCTTTCTACTCCTCCCCTTTGACTCATTGTCTGCTTCCCACACCAGGTTATGCAGAATAACCATATTGCCTCGGTGACCCTGTATGGCCCCCCCAGGCCTGGTGCCCACCTGAGAACAGCGGAGCTCCCCTAAGGACATCACCACCCATGACCCTCCGCCCCATGGAGCTGTGCTTCGCATCCTATTCAGTGGGCCTCCATGTGCCACCCTGTGGTTTTTCTTGGACACCTTGCCAGTGTTGAAAGACTGTTGTGATGTTCTGAGGTGGGGCTCAGACTGGGTGCTCTGCCATGGGGTGAGAAGCCCAAATATTCCTCTGTCCGTCCTCAGCCTGCTGGTGCCAACAGAGGACAGAGACTGCAAAGAGAAGCACAAACTCTGAGCCTTGATACCTGGACCCAGGTGACCTCGACTAACACGTATGGAGGCAGAATTCTGTCTCTCCTGTTCCACACACATTGGGAAAAGTTTGTGGACTCTTTCTGTGACTAAGGACACAGGCACCCGGGACGAGGACGAGGTCCCGCCTTTGGCCCATCATTGCCATGTGACCCTTAAGGCAAGCAGGTAGCATGTCCATAGTACTTGGTTGCGACTTTTGCACTACATCCACTTTAGTTACTTGATGAGCTGGTTGTGGCCAAGGTGGCCCACCTGCCCTTTCCTGTTCCTTCCTTGCACGCGCTCCCTACCAGGCCCAGTAGGCACGCCCAGCTCATTGAAACACACCTTTTTACCATCCAGATAGGTGCCCAGCCCCGGGTTCCTACCCCTCTTGGAGCCAGCCTTCAAGGTCACCTGTGCCCCTGCTCTGCCCCAACCTGGCTGGCAGGCTGCATGTTTCCATCCTGTTTGCCTCTTTTATTTAATGCCAAAGTTTTAGCCAAAGACATCTTCCTCCTTTTATTGTTTCAGCATTCTGTTCTGCACTGTGGGCTGGCTCTCTTGCTCCAACCCTGGGCAGTGTCCCCTGGCCAGGCCCATTCATGGGTCAAGGCTTCTGGGGGCTCAAGGAAGGCTGAGCTGCTCAGTCTTTTCATGGGTCTTGCTAAGGAAAGTAGCATATGTGCTTTAAAAATAATCCTTTTGAAAAGAATTGAGAAGAGAAATGTATAATTTTATCTCATTTTTAATATTTTGGTCTAGCAACTTGTGATACATAGATGACAATTTTGTGAGTTTTTCAAATGTGTGTACAGATTTTTGTAAATATGACTCTTTTGTAATTAACTCATGTACAGCCTCATCCTGTAGAGTTTAACAATGAATGTGCAGGGGACCTGCCCCAGGCTTCTAGGTGGTTCCTGGACTTACAGCCAGGTTTATGTGGCGCTCCCATAATTTTGTGACTGACTGGTGTCTTCCCATTTGGACTGTGGCCTGGCCAGAGACCCCACACACACACATCCCACTGTAGGGCCAGCCAGGACTATCCCCATCTTCCTAGAATAGGGGCACCTTCCTCATGCCCTGCCCATACCCCTCCAATAAAGACCTATGCCCTCAGCAGCGGCTCGTCATGTGCTGTTGCTGGGATATTTGTACTAAAATAAGCATGGAGGTGTTGATTTTTAAGAAAGTGGGTGAAGAATATGGGAAATTTTATGGTGGAGTCATCTTAGGTTCCTTGTTTCTTCTGAGTGGGGCAGCACAGCCCCTGGTAGGAGACTAGCATTGTTGTGTGTGTAAATTCTTAGGTGGTAGAGAAAGACTTCAGGTAGGACTGTGCACTTGGTTGTCCCTGTGTTCCTCCATCACTGGTGTTCCAGCCAGACCAGGGCCCATGAGGGGTTGGCTTAGGGAAAGGAGACCTCTAGAAGAAGATCTAAAGATCAGTACAGGGCTAAAAATCCAGTTTGGAGGGGCAGGTGGGAAGCACAGTGCCTACCTTCAGAGTGAGTTGTAACAAAATGCCTGCCAGTTCCAGGCCCCCACACCTCCTCCAGCCTTGAGAGAGACCCGCATTTGGATCACTCGAAGACTTCCAAATCAAGCAGTATGGTCAGATTCTGAGCCTCTGCAACCACCCATCCCCAACCCCCAAAAACCTACTTGGTACTAGGAGGATCAAACATGTCTGATCGGCAGAGCCTGGTGCCCTAAGGCCTCAAACCTAGATGTCTCAAAGGGCTACCATTCAGTTGGTTCTACATCAGATCCCAGTAAGGTAGGTCAGCAAGAGCCGAGCTCAATCTTAACTCCCTGGGGACTTATGGAGGCAGACTTCCGGGGACATGGGCTAGATTTTGAAATATTCCACCTCTGGGAAAGAACTACATACATGGCAATAGTCCTCCTGGGTCTGAGGGAGGGGAGCTTGGGGCCATGAAGGTGGCTAGGGGCCCCACTGGAAAGAGCCAGCAGCGACAGGCCACGGACGGGCACAGGCTGGCCCTTGGGGCCCATTCAGTAGGCGCCACATAAGCCAGATGTCCGCGGCTGAGAGCCCGTGCACTACAACCAGCTCCCGGTAAAAGCAGGGGTCAAAGGTGCGCAGGTGCGGCGCTGCTGAAGGACGGGGAATGCCAAAGGTGCGGAAAGCAGGGTGGGGCTCTGGTGTGAGCCGAAGGCGCTGTAGACACATGCCCAGAAAGACGTCGTCAATGGGGAAAAGCTCAACTTGTGCGCAGGCGCCGGCCAGGCGATGCAGCGTGGCCCCTGAAAGCACAAAGCCCCCACCACCAGCGTAGGCCGGGTAGGCGGGCAGGCCATACACCGCCTCAGGGATGTAGTATTTACTGGCTCGCGCACGGATTGGCCGCGCCTGCACGATCACGTCACCCGCGAGCAGGTCCTGCGCCGGGTCTCGCGGCGCTAGGAACTCTAGCAGGTTCCCCACGTGCACGAACACGTCTGCGTCGCCCTTAAAAACAAAGCGCACATCGGGGCAGTAGGCCGAGGCCCAGGCCAGAAAGTGGATCTCCTTGAGCGTTAGGTTGAAGAAAGTGTCGTCGAAAGCCCAGAGCAGGATGTCCGCATACGCCCGGCTCTCAGCACGCAGCAGGGCAGGCCAGTGGGTTCGCGTGCCCTCCCCCTCCGCTTCTGCCCCTTCTGTGCCCGCGGCCCTGGGCACGCCCATCAAGAACACGCGGCGCACGAGCGCCCCCTGCACGCGACCCTCAGCACCCCACGTCTGGCGCACCGCTTGGCGCCGCTCGAAGTCCGCCGCCACTGACTTGACCGCGATGAGCAGGTCGGGTCCACCTTCGGGTGAGCCATCTCCTCGGCACTTGCGCGGCTGATTAATGAGAAGGGGGAAGCGCCGCTGGTCCTTGGCGCGCAGATAGCGGCCAAAGTCAAAGGGTCCCGTGGGTGTGGGCGGCTCCGGTGTGTCCCCTTCGTAGGCCGGCGGGGCTGCGGCTGCGCCTGCGTCCGGTGCCTGGAAGACGCGGAGTCCGGGGGTGGGCTCCGGCGCTGCCTTCCTGTGCGTTCGCGGGGAGCTTGTCGTCGGGGCCGCGCCTTCGCGCTGTGAGTAGAGAAGGAGACCGAGGGCGGCGCCGAGGAGCAGCGTGAGCGACGCGTCCCCGCGGAGGCGCAGCCTCCGCCTCATGTCCGCGTGGCAGGCGCCCGCGCCCCCTGCGGAAAGACTCAGTCAGGGGCTCGCGACGCGGAAGCCATTGGCCGGGAGGGGCTCCCGGCCTCCGTCTCCCCGAAGGGAAGGGCAGGGGCCAAACGCCGAGGGTCTCCGCTACCGGCCATTCATCCCCCTCCAGCGTTCTCCTGCTCTGGGCCGTGGCACACCCCCACACACTGGGTTGGGTACCCTAAAGGGGCTGGAAGTTTCTCCTAGTAGCCAATCCCCACCCCCTCAGCGCGGCCCAGGACGGTTCCCTCAGGCCGGGAGACGCGGAGCTCGGCCCTGTTCCCCGCCCGCCCTTCCCGCGCTGAAGCCGAATTCCCTTCTACCCCTCCCTACCCACCACGTTGGTCCTTGGGATCCTGACACTCACGCTTGTCCCTTGGGAGCGGCGCAGCCCCGGACGCCAGGGCCTCCGGGGCTCAGCGCAGGGTCCCAAGGGCAGCCATGGACGGGGCCTGGGCCAAATGCAGCGTTGGCAGGAAAGGGGGGCCGGGGCTGCTACCACGTGACCCTCCAGCTGTGCGCGCCTGGACATCTGGAGCTCAGCTCCGCCCTGGCGCCGCGGGGAGCGCTGTCTCCAAGTAGAGACTAATCTCTGAGAGGAATCCCCACGGGCAGCTCTCTGTGGGAAAGCCTGAGGGGGAGGTGGCTTCTGGTCTCTGTGTGGACTCAAACTCCCCAAACCTGCCTTTTGGTGGGGCAGGAAGAAACATTAGCCTTTCTGTTATTCTCCGCACCCCCACCTCTCCGGAGTGAGGCAGTGCCTGGGCTAGCCGGAGTCCAGGGCTGGCTGGTCCCAAATCCCGGAGGCTGAGCCTCTTAGGCATCCACTTGGCCACAATCCCAGGCTATCCTTGAAAGCACCTATCCTCACCACACCAGCCGCCCAGGTTCAACCAGGCAGGACCTATAATCATAAATGGCCCCGGGTATATGGTTGCCTCCTTACTCCTGGTTCTGTCATGTCCCCCTCCCACCCCAGCAAACACACACACACACACACACACACACACACACACACACACCAACAAGATGGCTTATTCAATTCTCACAACTCTGGTAGCGCTCTCATTGCTCATGCAGAGGGGGACACTGCCCCTCAGGGAGTTAAGTGACTTGCCCAGCAACATACAGGCAGAAATTCAGAGCATTGCCCTAGGTCTTCTGGAATTCAGTCTGGGACTCTTTGCTCTGTCCTCCCTTGCCACTCTCCCCATCTGTCCACTAGGATACAGGACAGGGGCCAACCCTCTCTGCTCTAACTTCACAGGGGAGCACTTCAGTCTCTCTCCCCAGAGGTACCTCTGGCCCCCTGGCCCCTTGTGCTCCAAACCAGCATAGCCTCCTACAGGCAGAAAAAAACCAAGCCTGGGTCACTGCAGGCCAGACTAGACTGGCAGGGACGGTGCCACTGGAGGGATTCTGAAGTAGGCCTGTGAGTAAAGGGTCTGATCTGGGACCCCAGTGGACAGAAAGTTGTTCTGGAGATCGAGGGCCCCCTTACCTGAGCAGGGAGCCCCATCCTCCATCAGATTGAAAAAGGCAGAAACTCTGAGGTCCTCCTGCACTCTCACTGCTCATCCAGTGTCACTATGCCTGTTATCTTTCATTCTGAACAGCTCACAGTCAGTGTTCATCCCTTCCCTCCATCTCTGCAGCCACTGCCCTAGCCTGGGCCTCCTCCCTTACCCTCCCTCCCTCCACTTCTCCCTCTCCCTCCTCACCAGCCTCCCAACCTTAACGCCCCAGACCCTCTAAATGCTTCTCACTGGCCTCAGTATAAAATCCAACATCTGTCAAATGGCTTACCAAATCCTGAGCTATCTGCCTCCCATACTCACAAACTCTGCAAGCCCACCCACCACCCCTAGATCTAGTCACTCCAAACTTTGTTCTTCTAACATCCTCTGTCCTTCTAACTTTCTTCAAGACCTCACCAGAGGCTGGCTATGCCCAGAATGTTGCCATTCCCTCCACCCCCCACTCTCTCCTCTATTCACACTCCTATCTCTCCCTGGAAGCCCAATCCCTAACCTGGATTAGGCACCTGCTGCTCAGTGCCCCCATAACTTTTTATATTTTTCACATTTAAAAAAACGGGTAATATTTTATTGCCGTTGCTTAAAATTTGCAGTCCGACACAGTATAAACTGGGGGCAGGCAGGTTTCATGTATCTTGTTCACCACGATATTTGCAGCACCCAGCATGATGGCTAGGACACAGCAAGTGCTTAATGAGTAGTTGTTCAATGAGTGAAGAGGTAAGGGCTGGCCAGAAGCCCCTCATTTGGGGTGGGCAGACTGCTGCAGCAGGTCACCCATGCACCCTGTTAATCTCACAGTATCTGGGGCCAAACCCCAATGGCACTGCAACAGGAATGGTGGGTGCTTGTCCAACTCCTGGAGAAGGCAGTTGACAGTGCCCAGGAGCTCCAACAGCTGGGCTAAGTGGGGTTACAAGTGTGGTCTCAGAGTCCCATGGATGGACAGGAGCTCAGCAATAGCAGCAGAAGGAGCGGAGGGTCATTCGGGCGCTCCAAATCCTGCTGGGCAACTGGCCGATCCCCCCTTTTACTGGTACCCAGGTTAGGCCAGGCTGCCATCGGGATTTGTGAGGCCCAGCAAGTCCTCTGCCAGGCTGGTGAGCTCGTTCTCCTCAAGGGCCTCTACCAGGCGCTGCAGCGTGGCCCTGCGGCCCTCTGCCTGCACGAAGCGTCGCAGCATCTGGAAGGCCTGCTCGTACAGCCCTTCGCGCTCATACTCATAGGCCAGTGAATCGAGCGCCGGGTCCCGCAGCGCACGACAGCCTCGCTGCAGGGAGCGCCCCACTTTGCGCCATTTGACACCCACTGAACGTGCAAACGTCTGTTGGTCCTGCAAGCTCAGCGGCCGGTTCACTGCGGGGAGGAGTGGGAAGCAGAGTGAGCTCGGGAACACCAAGACCGTCCCAGACCCTGCTCCTCCCAAACTCCCTCTTCCTGAGGACCCTGCCTCCACTCTGCACGTGCCTCACCTATGGGCTGACCCTGGAACAGAAAAGTCTGGACAGGCGGCGGCGGCGGTGGTGGCAGCGGCTTCTCCTCTGAGAGAGAGGTAGCCAGGGACTGCGAGGGCGCTGGAACGACCTCCCTGTTGCCACCCTGGGTCCCCGAGCGGCACGCCAGATTCCGGAGCGCCTCCTCCAACTCAGAGAGTTCCTCGTCCCGGAGCCGGTCAGGCTAGGGAGGGGAGTGCGGCGTCGGTGGGCGTCTTAGCCGCAGATCCCTGCCCCACCCCAAACTGGCCCCAGCCCAGCCGCACCTTCTGGGCGAAGATGCAACTCAAACAGCGTTCCTCATCCGTCAGCAAGGTGTCCAGCCGCTCCGCGCCGGCGCGCAGCTCCAGTTGCAGCGGCACAGAGTGCAGGGAGAGAGCCGCCGCCAAGCACTCTTGCAGCGCGGCGCGCAGCGACCCCTCGCGGTAAGCGCGGAGAAAGCGGCTGCAGGGCTGGCGCCCGCGGAAACGCACCTGCACAATCAGCTGGGGCTCGCTGCGGTGGATCTTGAGCATCTGCAGTACGTCTGGGCTCCCGCCACTCTCTGCAGAGGCGGACAGTCAGGCGACAGGCGGTCCCCATGCGGGGCCATTTTTCCAAGCGGCCATGGTGGGGTGAAGCCCATACAGACTCCCTCCCTGACCCTAGCTCCCAGCTGGGAAACAAAATTGGGAGGCACACAGCAACAATCCAAAATGAAGGCCAGAACCTATCACAGGGAGCAACGGAGTGGGTGCCTCCCCAGACCCATCCTCGAAGCCCCAAATGAGGGTAGGCAAAAGAGATTGGCGAGAAGCTTTGCAGCAGAGAGAGGGGCCCGTGCCCAGGTCGGCCAAGCCTTCTGGTAGGAGGCCCTTGGGGCAGCGGAGGAGCGGAAGGTGTCAGGTCTTCGGCCTCTACTAACTGTGGCTCCCGCTGCCCAGGAAGGAGGCAGATCCCCCAACCGGCTTCAGTTTCCTGTGGCCTGAGATGGGAAAGGGGGGCTCCCAAAAGGTAGGTACTGGGGAGGGGTTTTGGGCAAGGAGTGCTGCAGTGAGAGAGGAAAAGAGAGAGAAGCGTAATTAGAAAGCAGTGAGCTGATTGGTCTGGGGAGTCTGAGGGGGCATAGAGAGGTGGGGGCGTTAGTGCATATATAGGTAGATCATACACAGACACGGGACACACGTCTACACCCAAGGGCACACCTGTGTAAACAGAGAAGACAAAGCCAGGCATCCCTCTCCTCTTCTCCACCCTCCCCGTAAAATCTTTTCTGTACCTCAGTAGTTAAGCACAGACCCAAAGAATTGAGGAGGTGGGGCCTCAGCCCCTGGTCCCGCCCACAAAAGGCCCAAACCCTCCCAATTCCTTTCCAAGTACCCGCCCACCCACACACCTGTCAGTGCAGTCCGCAGAGCTCTGTACACCGGCACCTTCTGCTGGGCCTGAGCATAGGCATCAGATAGGACCACCTTGTCCAGCGAGGACTCCACAAACAGGTATGCGCTGCCCACCCACTCGTCGAGCCCATTTGGCCCAGTGGCCATCTTGTCCCCTGGAGACACAGATAGTCAGGCATCCAGATCACCCCCCCACCCAGCCCTGGAGACAACTGTCCAGTCCTGTGTGGTTCAGCTGCTCCACTCCACCCCCCCCAAGCCGGCACACTTGTGAGGGGAAGTTCATCCTCGTACAGGCAGCCCCTTGTGTTTCTAAATCTGCACAGCACAGCCCAGCTCAGCCCAGACTTGCAGTGAGGACTGTCGCGCCACTATCTTCCCAGAGAAAGCGCAGGGTCACAGTGGTGGAAAAAGTGAGGTACTCCCCTGTGATGGTGGCAGAGAAGGTCTGCCCTCTCCTCAGGCCAGGAGGTCACTCTTTCAAAGCTGACAGGGGACATCCTTATCCTGGATAGTGCCCATGCCCCATAGCCAACAGAATCCATATCCTGGTATGCTTTCAGCTTAAACTTGAATCCCCATGATCACTTCGGGACAATAGCCCTCACTAGGTTTTGTCACCCGCATTCCTACTACATGCCTCCTGGGTCCATTTCAAATGACACCTGTAGTTTTCACCTGCCCAGATTCCCTCTCCTAATCCTGATTCACCTTTAGGGCCTTCCCTCTTCCCTCTTCTCAGTCCATGTGCCTGTTAGGAGCCCTAACTCCACTCCCTAATTCCAGGTGTGCACAAGTGAAATAGGCCTGGCCAAATCCACATATTCTACTCCCCTTTCTAAAGTGATTAGTTCAGAATTGGGCATAGGATTTAGGTTGGACCAACCAGTCAGGACCAGCCTGCAACTGTGGCTGGACCTATAAAGAAGAGAGACACTAGTTTCCCTTCCCATGGGACTGAGCTGGAAGAAAGGACAGGACTCCTCTGCCGCTGCTGGAAAGAGCCTGGCAGAGAATAAAACTGGCACAGAAGGATACAGAGCCAAGAGAGAAAGAGGTGCACGCCTAACCATGCTATGCTCTTGGTTCTAGCTGAACCCTGAACTTCTCAGTTACATCATTTAAATCATTCCTTTTTGTTCTAAAGTCCTTGCAGTTGGACTCTTGTCCTATGCAACTCAAATTGTTCTATTACAGATTTCCTCCCTGTCCAGACAGAGCCAGAGCCCCTTGGTGCTCATATCTCCTCTATCTTCTGACAAAATCCTAGCCCCTAGATCATGGTGGGAGGGTGGGAAGTTCCCAACCAGGAAACCACTTCATTGACCCTCCTCAGTTTAACTGCCTCCCAGTTACTGCACTGTGAGGCTGTAGGTGGAGAACTGCCCTGCCTCTTCCTCCCCACCCCTCCTGAGGCAACATTCCATCCTTGTCCCAGAAATGTTGGCTCAAGACCTCACCTCTTGCCCCAAGAGTCACACTTCTTTACTCTGATCTCCAGCGTTTATATATAGTAGGCTAGGAGCTGTGAGCACCCTGGATGCCATTGCTCTGGGCAGAACAGATGGGGTGGGCCCCAGCTGGCACCCATTTACATGAGGGACAGGGAAGGGGGGGATTGCTGCCACAAGGAACTAGGAGCACAGCCTTGGACCTTGTTGAGGAAGGAGCAGGAATCCTGAGCTAAAAGTAGAGGCTGCATTTCAGATCTGCTGCTACACCCTAACCCAAGAGCCAGTTACTGGGCAGGGGCTCCCCAGCATCACCCAGACCTGGCAAGAGAAATGGTACCTAGTGATGGTCCATCCCACCCTCTGCGCAAAGGGGACATGCCTTTTGAGTGCCCCCCCATAACCTTTCGGTAGAAAACATATTGATATTTGTGTAGTTACCCAAAGCAGTAATCTGGAAATTAAAAGGAAGCTAGCTAGCATTGTTTACCTCTGCAGAGGGTGGGGAAGAGAGTGGGGAGAAGGGAGATTCTTATTTTCATTGTATTTAGAAACAAGCAACTTTATGTAAAATAGACCTATGTCCCTTGTATTAAAAGGCAACATAAAGGGGCGCGTGGGTGGCTCAGTGGGTTAAGCCTCTGCCTTCAGCTCAGGTCATGATCCCAGGGTCCTGGGATGGAGCCCTGCATTGGGCTCTCTGCTCAGCAGGGAGCCTGCTTCTCTCTCTGCCTACTTGTGATCTCTGCCTGTCAAATAAGTAAAATAAAAATCTTTTTTTTAAGGCGACATAAAATTGAAGCAAAAAACAAAACATAAATGGGGTAAGACTCTATAGGTGACAAGTGGGACCAAGAGCAGTATAAGACAAGTGAAAGGAGTTAGAGCCTAAAGGGAGTGGACCAGAGGGTAGAAGAGTGTGGGAACCTGTTGTGAAACATTTCCCCTTCCTTGTCTTCTTAGCCCCGTGACTAGAAGTTGCTGACCCCATCATTGTGATCGGCCCCACGGACGGAAGTGAGGGCAGGACCCGGCCAAAGTCTGCCTGTCAGGACTGTCAGGGCGGGCACTGGAAACCTGGAGGAAGAGGCGATGCTCCATCACACTCACTAGTGGACAAATGGGAGAAGTCAAACGGGTCTGCCGGCCTGGAGGTTCAGCGGGTCAGATAACTGGGATAGGGACCTTCGGCTCGCTTGGTCCGCTGGGGAACTCCTTCCCTACGTGTCCTACAGAAGCCCCTCCTCGGGAAGCCCCGCGCCTTACCCCCGCCCCCGCGAGTGCGCCTCTCTGAGGGTGGAAACGGGCCAGGTCCTGGGGACTCTCGGCTGAGCTGAGACTGTGAGCGACTAGCGGGTACCGACTCAAGAAAATAGGCCCCTACCACCAGGGGCCAGCCAGGCACAGCGCGCCATTAATATAGCCTAACGATCCCCTGGCAGCTCCGCCTTGGGCCGGGGGGCTCCTCAGGGGCTGCCTTCATCCTGGAGCGCCCCCTACTCAGCTGGCCTGCTCCCAAGCTCCCGAGGGAAGTTCCCCTGACTCCAGTTGTGCCCACTCATGCTGGGGTCGCATGTTCATCTGGCTGGGGCGGGAACAGGTTTTTGTCCACAGACATTTTCAGAACCAGGCCCAGCCCGCCCTCCAATCAGCAGGAACCTGACACCCCCTCGAAAGACCTCAGCTGGGACAAGGAACCTGCGAATGCCAACGTCCGTACGCTCTCTGTCGTCTCTCACGGAAACAGCCCAACAGGCCGACGCCACCAACTGGCCCGGGCAGTCGCGGATGACAACTGAGCTGCGCCCACCCTCCTGAGCCAGGAATCGCCTCTGCTCGCGCCAGCACCGGGAAGCCCACCCACCCTCTGCACTAACCTGGCGGCCTTGGCCCAGCCCGGATTCACACGCCCGCCGGGCTCCACTGGACTAGGATGCTTCCGGGTGTGCGCGAAGCGCAGGGGTGGTGCCCCAGCCGGAGCAGCCCAGTCAGCCCCGGCGTCCCGCCCCCAATGCTCCCATCGGTTTCTTCCCGCCCACTGTCCTTCGCTGCCAGTCCCCAGCCTCCGGGCAAAGCCCACCTGGTTCGCTGAGCAGGTAAGACCTTGGCTCCCGAGGTTAGACGGCGTAAAGAGCCACCGGAAAAGACTTAGGGCGCTTTTCGGCTCTTATGATCCCAAGGGTAGGGGGCCCAGGGTGAGAGCTACCCCGCTTTCTCAAGCAGGGAGCGGACGAATCAACAAAGAGGCACCGTCTGGGCACCACAATTTTCTGGTGACGTCTGGGTGGGGAGGGTTTGAGCGGGATGATCTCTGACCTCTCCTACTCCCTGACACTCAGAACGGGGTGCCGGTGAGTCCAAGTTCAAGCCTGGCCGCGGGTATCTGAAGCCCCAGGATACATAAGGTACAAAGTGCAGTAAGGGACCGTTAGCCTGGAAAATATGGGGAACTAGAAAACTGGCAAGTGGTGTGAAACGTTGTGTAGGAAAACTTTCAAACACCCTAAAATGGGCAACTTTGAAGAGGACACACTTTCCGATAAAGGCCTCGCTCTGTAATGGGTCTGCAGAACTCCAGCTGAACCGAAACTGCCCGACCTGAGCCTGGACGGGTCCGGGGTCAGGATTGAAACTTGAACCCAGGGCCCCTCAGGCCCCAGAACCCGAAGCTTTTCTCCACCCAGCCGGCCTTTCTTTGGAAGCACCCGGTACGTCTCCCCAGTGAGGTGGAGGAAAGGAAGGAGCCGCCCCCTCTTCGAGCGGATTCAGCTGTGCCCCACCCCTCCCCCGCTTCCTGATTGGCTGGTGGTCCCCGCCAATTAGAAGTCTTCTCCAGTGCCCCCGCCCTATTAACCCTGGAGTCACTCTCTAGTGACTGGCTTGGAATGAGGTCTCTCAACTCCGACCTGTAAAGTCAACTGGTACTTGCTGAAATTCAGATTCCCGGGCCCCACTTTTACCGGAGAGCCTGATTTAGTAGGTGGGGCGGTAGACTCTGTATTGTGAACAAGTGTCCGGATTATTCTGATATCCCCCGCCGTCTGAGAAGCCCTCATTTCAATGGCCCTTGAGGCGAGGCTTGGGTCCAGTACTAACCTGGAACTCAACAGAAGCTGGGAAGAAAGCAGTTCTGGAAGGTGTCTGGAAGACTAGTCTGGGTGGTCCCGGTGGCTCTGAGTGTGTGTATAGGGAGACAGGAGGCTCTCTGAGCTGGGGTGGGGTGGGTAGGGGAGGACAGCTTTGTCCCAAGTCAGGGCAGGTGCAGCTGCCCTCCACCTTCCCCAGGGAAAACTTTAGGGGTGAAGAGAAAAATCCAACAGCATTTTCCAAATCCAGATGTTTGGCTTTATCAACCTCGTACACAGATCGTGGTTGCATTCCTTCTAGTATAGCATAAAATGTAGATAGATTTGTTCAACAAGTGAGAAGGTAGTATGAAGGAGAATCAGAAATCCTTCCGCATCCAGGGGTGATCATGGGTCTGAAACCTGTGCAGTAAGTGAAACTGGGCCTCATGCTTTAATAATTTGGTTAAATGTTTTGCTGTCACTTGAAATTATTAATAATATTTTCAGCGAAGAGTCCCCCATTTTCACTTTGCATTGGGCTCTGCAAATTATGTAGCAGTTTCTGGGCCACAAGCCTTTGCACACATAGGCTCTGGTGGTCCCCTCAACATTTTGGCTTTCTGGAGCCCAGAGACGCCCCTCTCTCCAGGCAAGAGCTTCTGGAAGCAGCAGAGTTCCCATCTCTCTCAGGGCCATGGCCGAGCCTGGAGAGCAACTGCCAGAGGAGGTGCTGGCGCTCATCTTTCGCCACCTGTCTCTGAGGGACCGTGCAGCTGCTGCCAGGGTCTGCAGAGCCTGGGCTGCCGCTGCTACCTGCAGCGTGGTGTGGCACGACACGACCATCAGGTGAGCAGGCTCCTCCCTCTCCCTCCTTCTCCCTTTCTCATGGAGTCAGGGGTTGAGGATATCTACATGTAAAAGCATAATCATTACTAACATTTGTTGGCCACATACTATGTACCAACCGGTGTTCTAAGTACCTTACATATATTAATTTAATCCTCACGAAAACCTTATGTAGTGATAGATAGAATTATCTCTATTGCACAGATAGGAAATTGAGGCAGAGAGATTTAATTACCTCGTACCGGTCACTCAGCTAAGTAGTAGCAGACGCAGAATGGGAACCTGACAGTCTAGAGGCCCCGCCTAGCCCCCTGAGAAAGCTGAGTTCCTGAAATATCGTTGGCTCTCCCTGCCAGGGCTTCAGCTCACGGCAGGTTCATCTTACAACGTCCAAAGGAGTTCCCTCCAGTATCAGTGGCTATTTGGGGGCAACCTGGCATGACCAGGACTGGGAAGTATATGTGTGGGGTGTCAGGAAGTGGGGATGGGCAGAGGCTTCTTGCGGCCAATGACTTTTTCACCACTGTTCTAACTGCAAGTTGCGACTGTGAGCGAGAAGGCACGCTGCTACCATACCTGTCTGCCTGCCTGGACCATGTTCACAACCTACGACTGGAATTTGAGCCGTCGAGGGAGCCGAGCCGCCGGGCGGCCACTGAGTTGCTAACCGCCCTGGCGGTCCGCACCCCGGGACTTCGAAGCCTGCGCCTGGAGTGCCGCGGAGAAAAGCCGCTCTTCGATGCAGGCCGCGACATCCTGGACGCCTTGCACGCTATATGCCGGGCCGCCTGCGCGCTGCGCCACCTCGACCTTAGGCGCTTGCCTTTTACGCTGGACGACGCGTTGGTGCTGCAGGCGGCACGCGGCTGCCCCGAGCTCCGCAGTCTTTTCCTTGACAACTGTACGCTGGTAGGCAGCGTGAAGCCTGACTCTGTGCTCGAGCTACTAGAAGCCTGCCCGCGCCTGTGCGCCCTCGGCCTACACCTAGCTAGCCTGTCGGGCACTGCCCTCCAGGTGCTGGCAGCGCCGCACCGCGCGCCTTTCGCTCTCCTGGCCCTACGGTGCGCGTGCCCCGAAGACGCACGCGCGCCACGCCTGCCCGAGGAAGCCTGGGCCGCGGTGCGCCGCCGCCACCCGGGACTGGCCGTGGAGCTGGAGCTGGAGCCCGCGCTGCCCGCTGAGAGCGTGACACGCGTCCTACAACCTGCCGTGCCAGTGGCTGCACTACGCCTCAGCCTCTCTGGGGATACCGTAGGCCCGGTGTGCTTTGCAGCGCGCCACTACGGCGCAACCTTGCGCGCGCTTGAGGTGCGCGCCGCTGCCTCAGCGGAGCTGGACGCGGCACTGGAGTTATTGGCGGCGCGCTGCGCGGGCCTGCGCGAAGTACACTGCTTCTGCGTGGTACGACCCTCTGTGTTGCACGCCTTCCGCGCGCACTGTCCGCGCCTGCGCAGCTACACGCTCAAACTAACGCGGGAGCCCCATCCCTGGCTGCCCACGCCTGTGGCGTGATGGGGTGGTCGCCTCTCCAGCATATATGTGGCCGCTAAGATGCTGGATGCATTTGTCCAGGCGTGCACCAACGCCATCCCGCTCCTTCGGGTCTCTGTTGAGTCTTGTGCCTCTGGAAGATGAGCGCATGTAGGATAGCGTCGGGACCATCCCAGGGCGTCTTGAGTCCACTGGACGGATCTCCATAATGGGATCATCCTCCCCCAGTCCCACTCCTCTGCTGACGCTGCGCTAGCTCCACGGCCCTGGCGCGTGAGGGGGGGCGGGTAGAGAGAGGACCCTGGCTCCTGTGGCGACTCGGGTGTGAGTGTGAAATAAATCCTGTAGCAGCCTCTGGAACGCGGGGCCGGCTCTGAAGGGGGAGGGCGGGGAAACTTCAGAGGCCCAAGCACCCGACCCGGCTGGGTGGATCGATCAGTTGTACCGATGCGGCTACGGAGGTCAGGGGCAGGGCACTCCGCATCCTTGGAATGACAACGCCCCAGAGTTCTGCGGGATGGTGCCAGCTTCTCTCCGCACCCGCTCTCCACACCCCTTGCTCCTATCTGCCCTCCCTATCCAGGCAATGGCCATCGCCTTCTAGGGCTTTTCCAGCCCACACCGGGCCGCGCATGGGTGATTTCTCCCGAAGAGCAAAGGAGGAAACAGCCTGAGAAGGGTGGAACTAGAACCCCGGTCTTCCTCCCCACCGCACCCCTCCACTCACATTAGATCCCAGCCTTCCCTTTCCGTCTGCTGGTGCGGCTGCCGAGGTCTGAGCCCCGCCCCGAGGGTTCGCACGTGGTCCCCACCTGACCCCGCGCCGGGAGGCGGAGTAGGGCGGAGCGGGCGGCAAACGCAGCAGTTTCCGCGGCTTTCACAAGCCCGCGGCGCCCGGCCCGAGCTCTTAGCCGGGCGGAGACTGCGCCATGCAGGAAGCGCCAGCCGCGCTGCCCACGGAGCCGGGCCCCAGCCCAGTGCCTGCGTTCCTCGGCAAGCTATGGGCACTGGTGGGAGACCCGGGGACCGACCACCTGATCCGCTGGAGCCCGGTGAGGGCTGGGGCCCCGTGACTTCCCCAGTGGTCCCCAGGATCCTTCCAAGTCAGTGAACATCCACGCCCACCCAACCCCTCTGTGGGACAGGGCTATGGGTCTCCCGATTCAGCTGTCCAGTGTAGTTTAACTTGGAGGGGTTGTGCGAGATGAAAGTGAGGCGACTTCCTCCGGACCGAGGAAAGGGTAGGCGCCTTCTGGAGACCTAGAGCCTGAGGGATCTTTGAGGTCATTTAGTTCCCACCCACTCCAATAGACAGGAAAACAGACTTGGAGAAGGGAACAGCTAGGTCTGGTTCTGGATCGGAGTCTGAGACCTGTCCAGGGTTGGAACCCAAGTCTGGCTTCTGCTCTTTCTTTCCCAGAACCCAGTACGGAGTCTGGGTCTGGCTAGGGTAGGGACTGACTGTGGTCGCTCCAGGCTAGGCCGCAGAGCTGGTTCTGGCCTGGCCTTGTCCCATGTCTTCATGAGCGGCACGGGTCTCCAGCGTGAGTACGAGTGTGTGTGTGTGTGTGTGTGTGTGCGCGTGTGTGTGTGTGCGCGCGCGCCCGCGCGCGCCAAAGCGCGGGCCTGGCCGAGGGCGGGCACGGCTCACTGTGTCGTCCGGTCTCCGCCTGCACCGTGGGTGGGCGGGCTGCGTTCTTGGCAGAGCGGGACCAGTTTCCTCGTAAGCGACCAGAGCCGCTTCGCCAAGGAAGTGCTGCCCCAATACTTCAAGCACAGCAACATGGCAAGCTTTGTGCGGCAGCTCAACATGTGTGAGTCCCTAGGACCGGGAGGGAAGTGGGTGCGAGGGCCTTGGTGAGCGGGGGGTGGGGCAATTTACGCTCCCACTCCCCCCTCCCTAGATGGTTTTCGGAAGGTGGTGAGCATTGAGCAGGGAGGTCTGCTTAGGCCGGAGCGCGACCACGTCGAGTTCCAGCACCCGAGCTTCGTACGCGGCCGAGAACAACTACTGGAACGTGTGCGGCGCAAGGTAGGGGCGGCCCTCGGGAACCAGAAAACTCGCGTGGAGGTGTCGAGAAGGCTAGCCCTGTTCTCGAAGACTCTGAACTGACGGTGCCTCCCACTTGCAGGTGCCTGCGCTGCGCAGCGACGACGGCCGCTGGCGCCCCGAGGACTTGGGTCGGCTGCTGGGCGAGGTGCAGGCTTTGCGGGGAGTGCAAGAGAGCACCGAGGCGCGGCTGCGGGAGCTCAGGCAGTGCGGGGGGAGGGGGCGTAGGAGGGTTGGGAGGGAGAAGGGGAGTCGGCGAGAGGACACTGGCTGCCAGGCAGTTCTTCTGGACAGCTCCTTCCTCTCTCATTTCTTAGTGCCTCCGTCCAAAGAGGCTGAGCTGTGGAACTCAGTTCTGGACGGATGGATGCTCCTCGGAGTGGTCGTGGGTTTAGACCTGCCATTCTGTGGGGGGTGGTGACCGGGAGGACTCTCAGATGCCTCAGCACCTTCCCACGCCTTCCCCCGCAGGCAGAACGAGATCTTATGGAGGGAGGTGGTGACTCTGCGGCAGAGCCATGGTCAGCAGCACCGGGTCATTGGAAAGGTGTTCCTCTCCCCCTACCCTTCTCTCTACCACTCCTGAACAAATCCACCTGGAAGTGCCTTGTTGGGTGGGGACAAGGTCCCAAGTATGAATTAACTCTTTGCTTCCTCTTTAGCTGATCCAGTGCCTCTTTGGGCCACTTCAGACAGGGTCCAGCAGCGCAGGAGCTAAGAGAAAGCTGTGAGTGAGAAAGTCAGGGACGTCCACACACACACCCCCGCGCCCCCCCCACACACACACTTCCAGGAACCTCCCTGCCAGAGGTCCCATGCTGGGACTCCTTCTCCTCCAGCAGCTCTCTCCAGGAATCCTCATTGTTCTTCCCTGCACTACAGTGTTCCTCAACCCATGGCAATTTCCCCAAGGTCCCCCCTCCAGGACTTTCCCTCTCTCCCTCCAATCCTACCAAGTACTCCCATTCCTAGATCCCTGTGTTCCAGGACCTTAGCCTGCAATTCCTACCCCCAGCAGTCCCTTTCCCCTCACCCCAAAACATCCCAACAGCAGAGGGTCTGGGGCTCAAACCAGGCTCTCTCCCTCCCCTCTCCACTCCCAAAAGGCCCCCATTTCTGGGGGGAGCCCCTTCTGCCTCCAACATGTGACTGATGCCCTGGCAACAGGCCTCAGCTCTGCTGACTTGGCTGCTGGGGCCTGAGGGAGGGAGGTGCAGGCTGAGAGGCCTGGGGGATGTAGCTGCCCTGCCCCCTGCACAGGTCCCTGATGCTGGAGGAGGGGAGCTCATGCCCAACACCGGCCAAATTCAGTGCCTGTCCCCTACCTGGTGCCCTCTTGCAGGACCCCTACTGTATCCAGTCGGTAGGTTTTTTCTTCTCCTCCCTTCCCTAGGGCACAAGTGGGCTTATGGAGAGCCTATTCCTTTCCCCCATTCCCTAATGGGGAGAGAACGGGAAGGAGGCCAGCCTTCCCCCCCACCCCGCCCCACCCCAAACCCAGGCTCCCCAGCATGGACTAAGCCTCCCCCTTCAAATCTTACTCCTCAGACCTGGTGGATATGGATACTGGTTAGGTTCTGCCTCTCCCTGTTGCTTGAGAGGAAGGACTGGGCTCAGTCATCTATTTACAGCCCCTCCCAGAGACCACCTCGGGCCTCAGCAGCTCTCACAGGGCCAGGGGCCCTATCATCTCTGACATCCATGAAGACTCTCCATCCCCTGATGGGACCAGGCTTTCTCCTTCCAGAAGTGGCAGGAGGTAAGACAGACAGGGCTGCCCTCTGGGGAGCTTGTAGGGGAGGGCCTGGCAGTCCAAATGGCTGTGGAGATAAGGGGGAGGTCAGTGCTGGAGTCTGGTTGAAGCTTTTCTCTGGTGCAGGGAGAAGGGCCTGGCACTGCTCAAAGAAGAGCCGGCCAGCCCAGGGGGGGAAGGCGAGGCCGGGCTGGCCCTGGCCCCAAACGAGTGTGACTTCTGCGTGACAGCCCCCCCGCCACTGCCTGTGGCTGTGGTGCAGGCCATCCTGGAAGGGAAAGGGAACTTCAGCCCTGAGGGGCCCAGGAATGCCCAACAGCCTGAACCAAGGGGTCCCAGGGAGGTAACTGACAGGTGAGCAAAGCGTCCATTCTTGCCTGGGAGTCCTGGGGGCCTCTTCTGCAGGTAGACCACCGCTAACTAACTTCCCAGCCTTGCCTACCCCTGAGGGGTAGGTGAGGCAATATGATGACCAGATTTCTCAGAGTTGCTCTAAAGAGTACCAGTACCAGAATGCCCTGGAAAGTAGAAGTTCCCATCAGATCAATCAGTCTATCTAGGGTAGAGCCCCGGAACCTGTATTGTAACGGAGTTCATTTCGGTGATTGGAAACATTGAAAAGTACACTATAGTTTAAGAACCATGGGTGCTGACAATTCCAAACAAAAGGGACATGTATCCCAAGACCCCAGTTCCATAATCCAAACTTCAGGTCAAACCTAGGAAGCAGAGGCGCTCCTTAAGCACCCTCTATGTGGGGAATCCTCTCCTACCATCTTGTAGTTGTCCTATTCTGATCCTGATGTATCCAGGTTCCTTAGGAACTTAATGCGGGGTGAACACTGCAGGCCAACAGCAGTTCTCTGTGTGCAGGGGAACTCTGGGCCTGGAGAGGGGGGTGCGGAGCCCAGAGCATCTGCTACCTCCCATGCTGCTTCAGCCCCCCACTGAAAGTGTGGAGCCCGCAGGGCCCCTGGATGTGAGTATACCTTCAGCAAGGCAGGGGCACAGGGCAGAGGGGAGGGGGGCCCTGGGTGGGGTCTGTTTGGAGGGGGAAGGGCACCACTGGCTGAGCGCTTCCCCCAGGTGCTGGGCCCCAGCCACCAAGGGCGAGAATGGACCCTGATGGACTTGGACATGGAGTTGTCCCTGGTAAGATGAAGGTGGGGAGGGCAAGGGTTAGAGTTACTGAACCAAGCCCTCAGCCAGAGCCCCAGCTCCCTTCCTCCACTCCCCTCCCCAACTGCTTCCTGGGGTTCTCCTCTGTAGATGCAGCCCTTGGGTCCAGAGAGGAGTGAGACTGAGCTGGCAGTCAAAGGGTTAAATTCTCCAGGGCCAGGTGAGAGTTGTGGTGACTTGGGACCTTGATCTGAGCTGCCAGGATTGGGCGGGCTGGACAGTTTGTGTTTTGAAGGGAAGTCCCCTGAGTTCAGGCTGCCCCTGGGATAGCTACTGAGGCTACCCATGCTCTGGCTGGTGGGTGAGAGTGGAGAATGGGTGTTTCATCCTGACTGACCAGCAGGCAGGACAGGTGAGGCTCTCCTTCCTCCAAGAGAGGAGGAAGAGCTCTCTTCCTGCTGAGCACAGCCCAATCCTCCTAGGGAAGGACTCCACCCTTGGAGCACCACTCCTGCTGGATGTCCAAGCGGCTTTGGGAGGCCCAACTCTCGGCCTTCCTGGAGCTTTAACCATTTACAGCACCCCTGAGAGCCGAGCCTCCTACCTAGGCCCCGGGGCCAATCCCTCCCCCTGAGACCTGCTTTGCTCTGAAGCCAGCCTACCTGAGGGGCTGGCCTGCAGCAGCACCCCCTTCTGGGCTTCCTGGTGCCCTTGGAAGAGGCAGAACCAAGACCCTGCTACTTTGTGGTCCTTCTCCATTACTGAGCCCTGCACATAAACTGCATTTTTTTCTGTGTTTCTGGTCTCTTTTCTCTACCGACCAGGGAGCACAGAAATCATGGGTGGGGGTGGAGGGCGACTTTGCATTCATAGAAATTTCCAGATGCTAAAGCTTTAGTAGCGGAACCCCTGGAGAGAGGAGGTGCTTGGGACACTAGGCCCTAGTTATGCTTAGGCTCCTGCCCAGTGGCCGGTTCCAGGGCTGGCACGTGGCCACTGCAACCTCAGGGGCTTTTGGGGTCACATCTGGTTCCACAATGCATCTGCTCTGTGATCCTGGGTAAGCTTGTCCCCTTCTCTGAGCCTTATCTGGGATAAGCAGAGAGAGTTAAAGGAGAAGATGGATGTAAATCTCCTGGGAATTGCCGGGCACCATAAGGCCCCCCCTCCCGGATTCATTCGGTGTGCCTGGGGTGGGGAAGGAAGGCGGACTATGCCTAGAAGCCCAGGGGTGCGCGGCCCCCGAAGCCTGCCCCCGGGTGTCCCCAGAACAACCCCCCCATTCCCCTCCCGCCTCCCAGTTCCCGTCAGCCCTGGCCGCCCCGCCCCCGCCGCAGCTGCTGCTCCCACCCCCACCCCGCCCTGCCCTTTCTGCCTTGTCATCTACTGCCCCGCGGAGGCTCGACCCATGAGTGGGGCCGCCGGAACGCTTAGAACCGGGAGCCCCACCCCACCCGGCTGGGGGAGGGAAGAGATACTGAGATTGGACAGAATCCGCGCCCGACCACCACCAGCCGAGCTCGAAGGAGGTCTGTGAGCACCGCCCCTCCACCGGGTTCAAGCGGTGGGACTGGGTGCGGGGGAGGTAAGGGGAGCCTTGTGATCGCTCTTTTGTAAAGCCTCCCGCAGTTTCCCACAACCCTCGCTCTCTAGCATAAGAGACCGCGCAGAGAAGTGGGAGGGAGGCCGAGATCTCCCTCGATGCCTCGCACCTGGAGCCGCCTGGCGCTCCGGATTTGGCCTCTGATCCTTGAAGGACTGGCCGGGACTTAATTTCGGTATTTAGTTCCGACGGTTGACTTGCCGCTGGGGTCTGTGCACCCCACTCAGGACAAAGTGCAGCATTTGGCATACTGCAGGGAGGAGGCTAACATGAAAATAACTTGCAGAGCCATGAGGGAGGAGGGGCCAATCCAATCTGTCCCCCACCCCCAACTTGTACTGAGCAGGTCCTGCACCCGTGACTGGGAGACAGTCTTTGGAGGTCTCCGCTGAAGAGGGCAGAGGGTCCCTGAACACAGTGAAGTGATGTCAGCGTGGTGGTGAGATGCTGCTTCTGGGGCACACAAGAGAAGGAGCCAGTCTGCCTTGGGGACGCTCAGACACTGGGGTGGACAAGGGGACATTTGAGTCTTGGAGGATGGGCCCCCAGCGTGGAGGGAGGGGAAGGATATTCCAGGCTTAGGGAACAGCATCTGCAAACGTTCACATGTGCCAGGGGTTTGCACGGTTCTCCCAGCACTATGTGGTGGAGGGAAATAGGTGGTGGTGGGGGGAGGGAACCTGGCTGTCCATAGGGGTGGGAGTTGGTTTGAGTGGCCAGGCCACATGATCTTAATTCTCTCTGATGGGCAGTGGGGAAAGGCGACAAGTAGTTGAGGCTGATATTCTGCTTGGCAGGAGATCTCAAAGTTCAAGCTAGACCAAGTCAGATTCCAATTCTGCCCTCTGGTCTCTCCGAAACTGTCTCCTCATCTGTAAAATGGGGACAATAAATCCTGCCCCAGAGACGTGTCAAAGTCACTATGCTTTGAGGGTGATGGGACGGGAGTGAAGGGTACTGAGAGAAACTGTCACAAGAGGTGAGGTGATGATGGGGGGCTGAGGGAGGACGCTGAGGGAGAGGGAGGGGCAGGGGATAGTTTTGGTCTCTGCTCAGTAGTCTGGGGGAAGCGCTGACAATGCGGTATGGCCAGGAGTGGTGAAATGACCAGGGGAGCATAGCATGACACCAGGTGGTAGTGAGAGAGACCTCGGAGGCAAGATGGGGCTAGGACCACAATCACTATCCCAGACCTAGAGCCAGAGAGAGAAGTAGGGGAGTGACCTCAGAAGGAGGATGAGACCCAGGAGGGTGCTGTGTGTACAAAGCCAAGGCTAGGGGAGATGAGCTGAGAGAGGGAGTGGTCTAGGGCCTGACCTCTTTGCCGCTCAATGGCTCAATGCCAGGGGCCTTACTGCCTGGGTCAGGCCACCCCAGAAGTGATGGGCCATTGTCCTTGCTTGTTAATAAATGGACAAAGCAGATTAATTTCTGCCTAACACCCACTGCTTGCTAGAGACAGGCTCTCAAAATAGGAAGATCCATGGAAGAAAACAGTGAAAGTTCAGCAGCATTTGTGGCAGCTTTTATGAGTTGGGTCCATGGCATTTAAGGAAGCAGCAGGAGAAGATTCCCAGGGCAGCAGGGAAACAGTTGGATCTCAGGTGATGTCAGGAGATCTTGGTCAGAGCTAGGACTTAAGAAAATTCAGGTAACCCTGCTCAGGTATTAGGGAGGTGGGACATACTGGGGGCATTGGTGAGGGGCTGCAGGGGCCAGAATAAGGAGCCCGGACTTCCTTCAGTCGGTGAGGGGAGGCCCTCAGCACTTGTGCTCTGGGTGTGGAGGGCATTCAGTGCTCTGCAGGATCTAAGCTGGACAGGAAACGCCAGACTAAGAAAGACGTGAGGATGACAGAAATAGCGGATAGACTGGAAAAGACGAGGCTGCAAGCTGGGTAATGGGATCGGTTGGGATCGTCTTTCTTCCTGTTACGGTGGGGAAGCAGGCTGGGAAAAAGAAGTTCGTTTGGATAAATTAGGTCTGAATAGAATATGGGATCCACAGGCAGCGGGGCTCAGGAGGGACGTGCTGACTGGGGAGAGAGGTAGAGAGTAAATACGGACCCAGAGGAGAGGAGAGCCACATTTGCCATTTAGGGGAGGAAGAGAAGCCTGAGTAGACTGGGGACAAGCCCTCTGCCGAGGAGCTCTCCGGCCGCCCGGGCTGGAGGTGAACTTAAATCGCAGCCATGGGTGTTCACTGAGACCCTGGGGGAGAGGTCGAAAGTGGGGAGTCCCGGCTCCCATTACCTCTCTCCCCTCCCCCATGCAGCCCCCACCATGGGCAATGCGCAGGAGCGGCCCTCAGAAACCATCGACCGGGAGCGGAAACGCCTGGTGGAGACGCTGCAGGCGGACTCGGGGCTGCTGCTGGATGCGCTGCTGGCGCGGGGCGTGCTCACCGGGCCCGAGTACGAGGCGCTGGACGCGCTGCCGGATGCCGAGCGCAGGGTGCGCCGCCTGCTGCTGCTGGTGCAGAGCAAGGGCGAGGCCGCCTGTCAGGAGCTGCTGCACTGCGCGCAGCGGACCACGCGGACGCCCGACCCCGCCTGGGACTGGCAGCACGTGGGCACGGGTGAGCGCGCGGAGGCGGGGTCTGAGCCAGAGCGCGGGGCGTGGCGTAAAGGGGTAGAGTGGGAAACCGAGTAGTAGTCTCCCCCACCCCCAAGGGTGGGTGTGTGTGTCAGGGGGATACCGCGGAGGCAGAAAATGAGCCTCAGATACTCCCACTTCCGCCCCAGGCTACCGGGAACGCAGCTACGACACTTCATGCCCTGGCCACTGGACACCTGAGGCACCTGGCTTGAGAACCACTTGCCCCGAACTGCCCAGAGCTTCAGACTGCGACGAGGCTGGGGTTCCCGGGGGCTCAGAGGCAGTGCAATCCGGAACGCCCGAGGAACTCAATCCGGAGCTGGAAGCTGGGGCCTCTGAAGAGGCTGAGCTGGATGTGGAACCAGAACCAGAGGCAGAGGCAGAACCCGAACCTGAACTGGAGCCGGAACCCGAACCCGAGCTGGAGCCTGAGCCCGAGCCCGAGCCCGAGCCGGAGCCCGACTTCGAGGCTGGTGATGAATCTGAAGGTGTGAGGCTACCCAAACCCGGTGCTGGATTGGTGGGAGCATGGGCCCCACATGACCGACCACTTTTTTCTTTGTCATCTCTAGATTCCTGAATGCCGGAGGAACACTGACTGGCCGCCCCTGACCAAGCCACGTAGGACCTGGGATCCTGCCCTGACATGTGTTGGGGGTTGCCACCAAGTCTCCACCTGACCCAGTACCACTAGAAGTGAATAAACTCTAGAGGGTCAGCCTGGGCTGTGTGACTTTGGCTTTTTGCCCAGGAACCAGAGTGTGGGTCCTTGCTCCTTGAGGTTCAGCAACCTGGGCAGCCTCATGCCCCACTGTCCAGTTCTTAGCCCCATTTCATCCTCAGTAGCCCAAGCCACACCCCCCTGGAGCCCTCAGTCCCAGGCCCCTAGTGTGACAAGGGCCAGACCCCCTGGGCGCTGCCCCACAGTCCTTTTCCCCTCATGAACCAGTTGTGGCAGGGGGGGGGCTGTGTAGTTACCTGCCCCCCACTTCATGGAAGTCCTTGGGCCTGGTACAGGGAAGGGAGACTTCTCTCCACTTAGGGCAGGCTAGAGCTCAAAGCCTTGAGAAGTGAGATTAGGAGAGAGGAAGAGGAAAGGATCTTGGGTAGACAGAGCCCACACGCTTCATTGTAATTGTTTTAATTGTCTGGCTTCTCTCTGGACTGGGGACTCAGGGAGGGTTCTGACCAGTAACTGGCACACAGAAGGTGCTCTATACACATTCACTGACTAGATGAATAAGGAGTTTCCAGTTGCATTTCTGAGTTCTACAGATGGGAAAACCAAGGGCAAGGGTGAGAGTGGGAATGGGTTAGCATCACACAGCTGAGTCTGAGGTGAAACCAGAAGCAACAACCACCTCTACACCATCTTGATCTGGGGGAGGGGTGGCTCAAGACTTGGGACAACAGGTAGGGGCCTGCCCCTCAGTCTCAAATGTGGCTGTTGCCAGCCTATGCCACCCTCGGCCAGAGGCCAGCTGTGAGGGTGTGGGCAAAGACACAGGAACAGCACAGGCCAGTGGAGGGGCTGGGAGCTGGGGGCAAGGCCAAGTGAGCTCTCGGGCTTGACTCACAAGGCCTAAAGCACTGTGTGTGTGTGAGAGAGAGAGACAGAGACAGAGAGACAGAGAGGAGAGTGGGGCTAGGAACAGTTGGTGCCTTCCAGAGGAGCACTGTTCCCTCCACCACACCTTCAGAAGCTGCTACCTCCCAGCCCCAGGAAGCAGAGCACATAAATAGGGTATAAATACATGAGCAGTGGGAGAGGCAAAATGCCAGAAAGCACACTCCAGCCCAGCTGGGTCTCTACCACCAGGACCCCTGCCCCTTGAGCCTGTGTGAAAGCCAGACCCTCATGCTCAGGCAGTCACCCTAGGAGAAGGGAGATCCCCACCAGGACCCAGTGAGAGGTAGAAAGCGTGAAAGCTGAAGGAGCACCGAGGGGCCAGGTGGGGGAAGGGAGACACTGGAGTATGCAGACACCCAAAGCCATCTCATGCAAGAACAAGTTTCTACTCCCAAACCACCCCCCATCCCCATCATGCTCAGCCTCCCTCCTGCCCCCAGGCTTCCCCTCTGCTCAACAGAGAGCTGGACGTAGGAGGGCAGACTCAGTTTGCTTGACATGCTACTACCGGTCCCTAAGCCCCAGAGAGGCTATCGAAGGACACAAAGGCTCTGATGTTGCCACTCCTACCTCCTGGGATGCTCCTGCCCTCCCAGTTCACCAAGAAACACCCAGGCCATGGAAGCACAGAACAGTCATCTTCATGTTCTGAGAGCTGATCTGGAGCCCTCTGTCCAGGGCCTCCGGCAGTAACCCTCAGCCGGCCTCAGTCAGGCAGCAGGCGGCCCAGTTCTGCCTCATCCAGCCGGTTAGTGGCCATGATGTGCTCCAGCTGTTGCCGGTAGCGTGCCAAGTCTTGCATGAAGTGGGGCACCCGGGTATTGTCCAGCACCCCATGGGGCCGCAGGTGGTCTACATCCTCATAGGACACCTGCAGGAAGGAAGCTGGTCTTCAGGGGGAGCCAGAGGTAGCCATGGCTTTCAGATACGTGGTCACTGCTCTCTATCAGTGTCTCATTGCCATCTGCTCCTCCAGATACACTCCCAATGTCATACACTCTGAGGCTTAGTCCTAGGTGTGTTTGCTCTCCTAACCCCAACCCAGCTTCTTCCCTCACCTCCAAAACTAGGTATCTAACTGCCTCCTGAACACCTGTCCCGCCATCTCCCTCAGGCACCTCAGACCCCACACCCAATGCTGAATGCCTGGGTGCCAGCTTATGACAGCCCTACCGGCCTCACAGTTCCCTAGGTCAGCTTGAGGGAAGGGACCTGGAATGTCACCCTCCAACTCAGGGTGGCCACTGGGCTGGAGAAATTCCACTCTCTGAAGAGCCTCCCCTAGCTTGCTCCTCCCACTGCATGGCCACAGGAGACTAGACTGCCATAAGTTCCACAGGAGTGACTGGAAAGGCAGCTTCCTCCTCCCACTGCGCTCCCTTCTCTAGGCCTCTCTCTCCATTCCACCTTCCACAGAACATCCACAGGGAGCCTTCTAAAGCAAAGGTGACATTTCTGAAAGCTCTCCTGATTCTTTATTGCTTCAGGTGAAATTCACCTTCCTTAGCCTGGCACAGATACACAGAGCCAGACTTGGTGTCTGGCGGTTTCTCCAGCCTCCTCCCTCCAACCTTCCTGACTGCTCCCCTGGTCTGAATGCTCAGATCCTTTGATGTGTGGTATCTACACATAGATCTGCAGCCTAGGTCAAGTACTCTTTGTTCACTTCCCCCCAGGTCTCCCCACCAAAGAAGCCTGGCCCCTAATCCTCAGTTGGGCAGCCATCAGAGGCTCAGGGAACACTGCAGGGACGATGAGAGCTTGCTGGGATCCCTAGAGGTCCGTGGCCCCTCACCTTGCCCAGTGAGGTCAGCAGCGGGAAATCGATGGTCTGGCGGTGCCGCAGAATGCGCACGATGCCATCCAGGTACACCTGATCCTTGCTGAAGCAGCCTGTGGGCGCAAGAGGGTTTGTGAGCCCCTAGGCCGGAGGCCTGCCCGGCTCAGGGAGTCCTGCACCCCCAGGCCTCCTTCAGGGCACCCCACCCCAACCCCGCGCGGGCGCCCACCGGGCAGCGAGGTGTCAGTCTGGCCGCGCTTGGCGCGCACGCAGTACTCCCAGCGCACGTCAGCGTCCTGCACGTAGCGCGCCAGGTCCTGGAAGAGCTGGCGGAAGGACATGCGCGAGGCGCGGTGGATGGTGTAGTAGAGCAGGGCGGCGCGCCACAGGAAGGGCTGCTTGCGGAACAACACGCTGTGCAGGCTGGCCAAGCCCTCCTCCGTGGGGTTCGCTGGCCGCAGTCCGTACTGCAGCCGGCCCTCGGCGCTGTGCCACGGCTGCCGCGCGTTGTTCACGCCCCGCAGGTAGTGAGTGCCTACGGAGGAAGGCGCCACTGGGTAGGTCATCCTAGGGGACCAGCCTGTGGGGCCACGACCTGCTACCTCCTACAGAAGCTCTAGCCGGTGACAGCGAAGGTGATTCATGGTGACTCACGCGTACTCTAGCCCCTAAATTCAGCCTCTCACGCAAATTCTTGCCCCCAACCCCCGCCCCAAATGCATACTCACCCAACCCCAGGCAGTGGGAAGACCCTCCTCAGGTGAACTCACACCCAAGGGCTTAGAGTCCCACACACAAGAATCCTTCCCCACCCATCCAGGGCTACACACACAAGCAACTCTCCCAAACCCACACTGCCCCCCACGCCCCTCTGAGAGGGGCAGGAACTCCCAAACCACCGCAGCCCCACATCCCCAAAAGCCCGTATCAATTTGACAGTCATGCTGATGATCCCAGTGAAAAACATCTTTTGCTGAGAGCTACAGGATTCTTAAATAGGAGAAACAGACAGAAAGGAATAGTAATTCCCGTCCCATGCTCTCCTTTTCAGCTCAACCTATCTCCTCCTAAAACCTGGCTTTATGTCCTCAACTAATTCCATTCCTAGTATCTGGCCTTGCACCCACCCTGGAGGGCCTCCATGTTGGCTGGGCTAGTGGGACCCTCAGGGTAGTCCCTCTGGCCTGTCCGGGCCTCAGCAGCCTTGTCCCCACTGTCGAGGGAAATCAGAGAGGAAGTAGAGATGTAGAGGAAGAGATACCCAAAAGGAGCAAGAGATGAGGATGAGCCCAGATAGTGGGCAAGCATGTTCTGGCCTACCTCTGTGAGCCAGAGGGAGGAGGTAGCTGCTCACGAAGGGAAAGGGCCCGTCCTCCGGAAGGAAGGGGAAGAAAGAGAGGGGGGTGGGGTTACTGGGGCCCCTTGCTGCCCTCCACCCCGTCCCAACCCCCCTCATCCTACCCACCCACCCACCTACCCACACCCTGACCTATCTCGTGCCGCAGCATGCCCTCCAGCCAGTACTGGCGGGCTCCCGTCAGGTTGATGGCCAGTGTTGGTCGGCTGTTCTCCACCATCATCACTGCCTGGGACAGCAGGTCTTCACTCAGCTGCACCACAACCTGCAGGTGGTAGTGAACCTAAGCCATGGCCACCAGCCCTGAGACCAGGATGCAGGTGGACCCACTGATGCCACAGGGCAGCCAGGCCACACACCCTTCACCACCTCTGCTCAGAGCCAGCTCCCACCTTATTAGAACAGGGACGGGGCTTGCCTGGGATCTCAAGCTCGCCAGGTGTGGAGCTGGGCCTGGCAGCCTGGTTTGGGGCACAGAGAAGAGGGCCTCGAAGGCAGGGCTAGCTCACCTCCCCAACGCAGCCCTCCTTCTGCATGTATTTGCGAACAATGGACCAGATCTGGCACTTGGTCAGCAGCTGGCCCCCCGTTGCAGCTTCGAAGTGTTCATAGGTACCAAACTTCTCCAGGACAGCCTCAATGATGCCAACTGCCTGCACAGAGGGTTGTGGTGGCTGGTCAGACCAGGCCTCTTGGGTGATCAGGACCAGGACGAGGCAGGCAGGCTGGACTGACCTGATGGATGAACTGTCCAGAAGCCTCACAGTACTTCTCCAGCACAGCCGTGGGCATGGGCTCCTGGTACTCGAACTGTGGGTTGTAGGTGTAGTGGGACTGGAAGAACTTGTCCCGCTCTCGGTCCATATTGGTTGGCCGCAAGGCCACCAACATGCAAGGGCTCTTGCTGGCACCACGGCCTGCATCCTTTCGAGTCTTAGCAATGTGAGGCAGGGAGGCTGCAGGCCGCAGGGTTCCCCCACCTGGGTCCCGTCCCCGTCCAGGTGGGGCCCGACCCTGGGTGCCACCCCCCCGCCGGCCAGTACTATTTACAGTATAGGTGCTCTCACTGCGACGCATGTGGCCACGGAGGCCCAAGTGCAGCTCTGAGTAGGGCTGCAGCTCAGGCCGGGGCCGCAGGGCTGAGGGGATTGACAGAGCCAGGGGTAAGGCCAGGGACTGAGGCCAGGGGTACAGCAGTGTCCCATCTCGGTCTGAGGGCTTCAGTCTATGGCCCAAGGATGAGGGACTGGCTGGTGGGCTGGGGGGTGCCTGTTCATACACCTGAGCCCCTGAGTCCAGCACCATTCTGTCCTGGGGGTCACATCCAGCCGGGTCACTCCAACTCCCCACACTGTCGACTTCTGGGGACACAGAAGGGCATGTGGAGGCCAGTATGAGTGCGTGTGGCCTGAGCACCAACAGGCCTTGTGCTCCACAATGCCCTGGCTGGGTGCTTAGTGGGTTCGGAACCTGCCACCAGGAATCTGGGTAGCTGCCCCTTCATCCCCATTCCCTCCACCAGGCTCACCCAAGGAAGCTGGACTGGGGGAAAAAGAGGCAGAATTGATACACTCACCTAGATGGTGGTACTGGAGCCCCTTAGCCTGTGAGCTGCTGAAAGTGAGGCCTGAGCCCCTTCGTGACTTTAATCCCTGTGCTCGGCACCCACCCAGACTGGGAGCTGATATAGTGTAGCCCCAGCCGCTGGGGGGCTTCCTTTAACCTGCCTTCCACCTATGGCATTTTTTTAGTCTCATCCCTCCCCTCCCACCTGGCCCCACCACCTCCACCAGCCCAGTTGGCCTCAGTCAGGTTGAGTGTCTGCATGCCCCTTGCTTATGGTCTGGAATGGTCTCTCTCACCTCTGGGTCATATGTTCAAATCCCAGTTAGAATTAGCTTTGTGGGGAGCAGAGGGAGACTTCAGCAAATTCAAGCCAATCCTTGGTCTGTCTCCTATCAGAGGCCTCTTTCTAATGGTCATCCAAGGCCGGTGTTGGCACGTTCACCCCTTGCTCTGTACTAGGGCTCAGAACAATCCAGTCTCTCCCCAGAGACTGACTGTGAAGGCTCCAGATTCTGAACTCCTTTGCCTGTTCAGGGACACAATTCCAGTATTTCTCCAACATCATCAATCTCTTCCTCTCTACTGTATTCTTGCCAACAGCATAAACACATACTGTTATTTCTGTCTTAAAAATACAAAACCAAACCCTCACTTGACCCCACACTCCTCTAGCCCCACCGCATCTCCCAGCAGCTGCTCCCTGTTGCAGCACAACACCCATCTGTATGCAGTCTGATTCCTTCTTTTCCTGTTTTCTCTTATGTTTCACTCCAACTAGGCTTCTGTCCCCACTCTCCATTGAAACTGATCTGACCAAGATCATCAATGATCTTCATACTGATCGGTGCACTTGACATCATTAATCATTTCATTTTAGAAACGTGTTCTCCACTTGGCTTCTCCAGCACACTCAAATATATTCTCCTACCTCACTGGCTGTTAGTTCTTGGTCTTTCTCGCTCATCATTCCTGTCTTCCTGATCTCTTAAAATTGTAATGCCTCAGGACTTGGAAATTCCTATAGAAACTTCTCTCCTTCTTTTATGCTTACTCCCAGGGTGATCTCATCCAATTTTATGGTTTTACGTACACCACTCCAGACTTCTATAAACCTCCAGCCGGTGTTGCCAGTTCTCAGTTCAACTTTACTTGAATGTACAACAGGCAGCTCAAACTGAATATGTCTCCTATCTGGAATGCTTCCCCCCAGATAACCGCAGGGCTCACTCTCCCATTTTCCTTAGATTTCTTCACAAAGATGTTATCAGACAAGTCTCCCTAACACACTCTCTTTAAAATAGTAAACCTCCTCTTTCCTCCCCACCACAATCTTCTCTTCTCCATATTATTGGTTTCTAAAGCAGTTATCACCACATGAAGTACAGTATATGTCATTGTTAGTTATCTGTTTTCTCCTTTTGAATGTTCACAGCTGTGTCCCCAGAACCCTGAACAGTACCCGATCCAGAGCAGTTGCTCAATAAATAAGATGAACCCAAGAGCACTTCTTCTCAGAACTGGAATCATTCCTTTCACGCACTATGTTTCCCTATCAATTTCTGATCCCCTACCCCACCTCTCTTCCCTCTGTCTAGTGACCAGCAGTTTGAAAAGATTTCAGGCCTCAGACTTCACTCTTCTCAACTAACTGTATGCTTTTCTGGACTCCTCACTGGTCTCTGGGTCTCTACCTCCATCCCCACCCCCTCCCTTCTTTCATTCGACCTACCTCTTCGCAATTACCAAGAATACGCCTGTTTCTTTCACGTCTCAGGTTCTTTTGCCAAGAATGCCCTCCCAATTGCCTCCCTGTAGCAAACTCCTAACCATTCCTAAGGGCTCGGTTTAGGTCTCACCTCCTCCAGGAAGCCTTCCTGGCGTCTTGGAGGCTCCCAGTGTCTAGGAGGCTTCTTTACCACCCTAAGCTGTCACTTTCGGAGCCTAGATCCGTGTCCCCACACTACCCCCTTAACTCCCTCAGGGCAGGGACGAATCTGATTAACCCCCATGTCCCAAGCACCCAGCACTACATGCGGAATGAATGAAAGACGCAAGAGCCCAGACACAAGGTGGAGTCTAGTGACAAATGAGAGGGTGTGGCCTACGCCAATAGAAAAACTCCCAGAGAGAATAACGTGAAAGAGGAGCCAATGGGGGGGGGGGAGAGGAGGGGCGTGACCTGCAGCCAATAAGTGGCGGAGGATGGAGCAAAGGGCGTGACCAATGGGGGCGGAGCCAGAGGACAATGGAGGGGGGGGTCCCTGGTTAGGTGAGTAGGGGTCGTGTCGCGCGCCTTCGCGGCCTCTCGGGGGTGGGGGGGTTCTGTCCGCGTACCGTGCCCCCACCTGTTCGCTCCTCTTCTCGCCGCCGCCGTTCCCGCTCCGCAACACCAGTCGCCGACAGCCCAGCCCGCGGGAGCGACCGCTGGTGACGCACGCACTCGGGCGCGCGCACGCTCACGGGAAGGCGCGCCTATTCACGTCAAATTCGGCGGCGGCGCGCACCCGAGAACAAAGCTGGGGGTGGGGCCAGGCAGAGCCGAGGGGGTGGTGTCCGCGCCAAGTCACGCCCCTGGGCGTGGCGTTATCTTAAGCCCGGCCCTTCCACGAGGACCCCGCGGGTTTCAGCGCTTCACGTACTACTCGGCCTTCAGAGTCAGGGCCTCGACACGAGCTCACTGCCCTGGCGCGGATAGGTGGGGCTGTAGTCCACCTATGGCGGCAGAAGCGCGGGTACTTGCGAACGCAGTCCATACCGGGCTGATGTCAGGATAGGTGAGGTACAGCCCATATATCAGGACTGGATACCTTAGGCGTTTCACTGAGCGTGAACCCCCTAATCATCGCACTTTTATTTTATACCCCCTTCTCCAATACACAATTCAGGCGTCTGGGGGCCATCCCTGTATCCGGAGGGCAGCCGGGCGTCAGGCACAGGGCCCCGAGGGAAGGCAAGAGGACAGCGCAGGAGTAGGTGCTGGGACGAGGCTGAAGAGTGCGCGGCGACCGGCAGAGGGCGAGGGCTGCGGTCCGGCCTGCAAGGAGCTGAGTGCGGCCAGGCGCTGCTCCCGCGACACGTCCCCGCGCAGGTCCAAGAGGGCAGAGATATGATCCTCGCTACGGGAACCCCACAGAGGTGTGTGTCAGCTCCGTCCCACTCCGCCCGAATCCATCCTCCCTCGCCCCCCCCCCGCCCCAACCAGAACCAGTCTTCGCACCTCACGTCCGGAAATTTTTGTCGTAGACCCGCCACCTCGAGGCCAAGCAGCATGGGGTCGCGGAGGTTCAACATATCCCGCAGAGCGAGGAGCACTGGTGCGCACTGAACACTCTCCTCCAGGCCCTGGGCACCGCAGAGTAGGTCTCACGCCCGCCCTGGACCTCCACCTAACCACTGAGACTCCCGCCCATCTTCTCGCCTAACGGACTCTCACCAAACCAAGGAAAAGCTCCCGAAGCTGGGCCGCGTCGTGCTGCAGGCGCTCGGCCACCTGGGTCCTCTCGTGGGCTCCTCGGCACACTAGGCGGCCCTGCATCAGCGCACGTAGGTACTGCAGTACCACCATACGTTCCGCCTCGGCCAGGAGCAGCTGCGGAGAGCGCAATGGATTCAGCACGCCTTTCCCATGAGTGCTTCCCTACTCCCCAGCCTTTCCCTTAAACGCACCTGGGCCGCAGGATTCCGCACGCGCCTAAACTCCTGGCAGAAGCGCGCTGTCCGCTCGCACACATCGTCCAGTAGCTCTGGGCTCGACAGCCACCGGCGTGAGGGCAGAGCCGCGAACAGGGGCTGTGAGTGGTGGCAGAAACGGGGTTGAAAGAACGATCCAGACCTAGCATTCCCCCTGCAAAGACGCACATCCAAATAGGCTGTATCTCCTCCCCAACTCGCATCCCCACTTGAAGCCTTACTTGGAGCTCTGCCAGCAGCGCCTCCAACACCAGGCGGCAGATCCTCCTCTGTAACTCGTCCAGCGCTGTCTCCACCGGAGCCAAAGCTCCCGAAGCCGCCCCTTCGGGCTGCAGGCCTGACACGGAGGAGCTGGACCGACCAAAAGTTAAGGCTTCAGGACCAAGGCCAAGGCCCTCGCGGCCCTCGGTTGTCTAGCCACTCTGTCGCCACCTAGTGGTGCAAGTGTGTGGCGCTAGGGGACCAGAATGGCGGCTCTCTACTTCTGAAGATCTGGGGCTCAGACCAAGGAGCTGTGGACTCGGGCATCTAGAAGGAACCCAGTCAGACCTGCCCCTGGTTTGCAGTGAGACTTCGAGCAAATCATGCCTTTTGGTTTCTGTCTAGGTAAGGAAAGAGTTTAATCCCAGTCAGGAGGGATTCAAACTCATCAACTTATTTGTTCTCTCTGTCCCCCACCCCAAAAAACATAAGACCCAAGAGGAAGGGAATTTTTTTCTGTTTTGTTCACAACTGTAACCTCAGACATTATGTGGCACAGAGTAGGGCCTTGATGAGTATGTGTTGGATAAATGAATGAACGAATAATTGATACTGGCAGGCTGGCACTGTGGTAGGTACTTCACATCTGTCATAGGATTCCCAGAATGTACCATTATTACCCAACGTAATACTGAAAAGAAAAACAAGATTCAGGGGCGCCTGGGTGGCTCAGTGGGTTAAAGCCTCTGCCTTTGGCTCAGGTCATGGTCCCAGGGTCCTGGGATCGAGCCCCGCATGAGGCTCTCTGCTCAGCAGGGAGCCTGCTTCCCCCCTCTCTCTGTCTCTGCCTGCCTCTCTGCCTACTTGTGATCTCTGTCAAATAAATAAATAAAATCTTAAAAAAAAAACAAGATTCAGAAAGATCAGGTAACTCATCCAAAGTCACACAGTTAGCAATCAGTAGAACTAGGATAGGATTCCCAGGGCTATGTGAGTCTAAAATTTCTGATGACCTAGTGGGGACTGGGTCCATACCTAACTGGGGTTCAGACAGGAGTTGGGGGGGGTGTGGTACCTGAGTGCTGACTGGTGGTTGAGGGTGGCCAGTAGGTAGGGCACGTAATGAGGAGCCGTTGCTTCCCCACTGGCATGGTCTCGAGAGAATCGGATCAGAGCATCACTAAAGCTGCAAAGGGCAGAGGTAGTGCCTGTACCTGTCACTCTGGAGCCCCCACAACCTAAGTCCCTGCTACTTCAGCCCCACCTCAAAGAAACCCAAGAGCCTGTTTTGAAGACGCCCTTTCCTCCTAGTGTGTCTAATTCACTCAGATCCCCTTTGGGCTGCCCCAGGAGCAGGGCTAGGGGTTGGACGTGGGTCAGTGCCTTGGCAGACCTCCTCAGGAATGTGCCCAGTTCTGATAGTGCCATGCCATGCACCCGCTGCTGCAGTGACTCGCTGACCAGGCTGGTCACGCGAATGTTCTCTTCCAGGATCTACAGGCAGAAATGGGTGGCCATGAGCAGAGTCCTAGCCCTGCTCCCCGCCCCCCTTTCTCTATGGGGGCTTCCTACCTGTCTGGCCTTTTCCCACCCACCTGCAACACTATGGCCGGCATAGGTGAGTGGTAGAAGCCAGAAGAGTCTGTGCCAGGTTCCTGCTCTCGGTTCCACTCAGCTACCTCCCCGTCCAGTGTCCTCTGCAGCCACTGGGTCACATTTGCCTGGAGGAAGGGGTGAAGAGGGCCAGGATGTAGCAGGGCACTGATCCTGCTTGAGATGGGTAGACATTCGACTCTACAGATACAGGCCCACAGCTGGTGGCAGAGCTTCTCTGTACCTGGGCCCCAACTACTCACCTGGATTTGGGCCACAAATGTTGCCTCCAGCTGTTCAATGTTCTCCAGAGTCAGAAGGGGCTCCAGCTGAGATACGTCAGCCTCAGGCCCCAACTCTAGGCTCCCCATCATCTCTGGCCTGCAGATGGGTAGCCCAGGGTCACTCTGAGCCCCCAGCCTCTGATCCACCCAGTTCCCATTGCCCCAAGGGGATGGACTGACCCCGGGTACACATGCAGTGCCCAGTGCAGCAAGGTGAAGGCATCAGCAGCTCCTAGTCCAGGCCCTTCCAAGAGTTGCTGCAGGCAGCGGCGGAGTCCACTGTGCAGGGTGTGGGCCCACAGCTGGACCACTTTGTAGTGTGGTGGGCAGCAGGGTGCTACTAGTGCTTCAGCTATGGCCAACTCAGCTGGTAAAGCCACCCGCAGGGCTTCCAGCCACCCTGCCAGGGCCCCCGGCTCAGGAAGAAGAGGTGTCCCAAAGTGGGTCCTCTCCAGGCCCTCCTGTAATGCCTGCAGACAGCGCTGCCGCCAGTCCCTGGGGGCCAGCTCCAGGGAGGCCATGTACCCAGCATCCACCTCCGCCACACGCACAGCAGCCACCAGCAAGGCTGGGTCCTCCCGTGCCAGCTGCCCTGCGGCCCCTGCAGCTGCTTCCACTGCCTGGCCGAGAGCCTCAGCCAGAGGGCCCAGCCCCTCAAAGACTGGCAACTCCAGGCCCTCCAGAGGGGCCCATGTCTCTTCTTGTAACTGCTCCAGCTCCCGAAGACACACATATGCCTCCAAGAGCCGCTGGGCATCAATCAGGGTCTGCGTGTGGGCCACTGCAGCTGGCACTAAGCAGGGAGAAGATGAAACAGTCCTGAGTCTCAAACCTCCCACCTGTACAAGGGGTACAGCAGGGGATGCTCAGGCCCTAGGGCTGGAGTGATGTGTAAAATGTTTAATAAGCAGTACAGCAGAGCACTGACCAATCTGAAAGGGCCCAGGGAAGGGCCTAGAGACCTGGTGGGCCAAGTGTAAATTTTGAGCTGATGGAACAAGAGAAAGGGATCCTGGAGGCAAGACAGTGAAGAATTCGTGGGGCCATGCTAGTGGCTATTTACCCTGTTAAGGAATTATTTCAATAAATTAGCAACCAGGGTGGTCAGAGCCACTTGGCTGATTCTCAGTCCTGATTCAGACAACTCATGCTTGAGAATCCCAGAATCCCAATTTGTATCCTGCTTCATATGCCATTTGAAGCCTGAATTACTCTCTGGAAGGTCCCTGCAATCTCCCACTAGTGCCCCAGCCCCTCGATCAGCGATGGGGGTTTAGTAACTAATGGTTGGGGGGCTGAGGCCCAGGACCCCTGAACACTTACCTGCCCATAGCCGGGGCAGCAGCTGAGACAGGACCTGCAGCCGCTTGTGCTGTGCAACCTGTTCCCGCAGCGGTTTCAGGGTCTGTGTGGTCTCTGCCATACCCTGTAGCAACCCATGGGCCTGGCCCAGGGCCTCACGGGCTCCCTGCACGGCCTCAGAAGCCTGGGCCAGCTGCCACACACCAGTCTTCACGCCCTCCAGGTAGGACTGCACCACTGACTATGGGAAGGAGGCAGCCAGTGAGGCCTGGCGGTCCCACAGCACATCGCCAGCACTCTTTTCCCGACCAATGCCCACCTTGATCCGTGCTTCCAGGGAACAGGTACGCTGAACCTCACGGCTGCGGTACTGGCCCAGTCTGGCCAGCTGCTCCGGCCGGTAGAAGATACCCGAGGCCCACTTGAGTGCTGCTCCTCGGGCAAGCTGCTCCGCCCTCTCCTGCTCTGGCCACTCAGGCCCTGGGCAGGAAGAGCCTGGGCAGCCTCGTCAGTTGGGCAGGGCCTACAGGAAGTGGCCCGAACCTGCTCCCCTTCCTACTTCTCAGCCTGTCCCCTAGGGCAGTCCAATCCATTCCTCCTGCTGCCCTGCAGAGCTCCAGCCAGACCGGGCAAGGGGGATCCAACCCCCCCACCCATTCCCATCTTTCTTGCCACGATCCCTCCCTTAGCCCACCCAGAAGGGCTCATACCGGGAGGAAGTGAGGGCTGCATTTCATCCTTGGTTGCTGAGTCCATGGCAGTCCCTGGAGGAGCCGAAGATGAGGTACGAGTGGGGGCAAGAGTCTGGGTTCAAGCAGACAGAATGGATGCTCCTGTGAGCTGTGGCCTCAGTCTAGGGCCCTCTGAGAAGGAGGAGGGGTGTTCTTGGAGGGTTCTTGCCCAATCCCCTCAGGAAATGAGAAGGAGGTAAGTGTGATGGGGAGACTGGGTTTCTTAGTTTTTCCCCTGTGGACGCCAAGTGAGGGAGGGTACGCACAGGCCTCTGCTGGCTCCCGCTGCTGCTCTGAATTGCAGAGGACGGTTCGGTATGGAACTCACCAGACTTGACCAGGCATCCAGTTCTTTCTCCGTTGAAAACAGTCTTGGCCTTGAGGATGTCCCTCTCCCCCAGTCTTCAGGGCAGAACTGAGTGTTCTCTTCCCCGGCTCACGAGGCCTGGGCAGTTCCAGCCCACACCTCAGCACGCAGCAGACTTCTCCCCAAGGAAGCCTCTGTACCACCTCCCTGCCCAGGAGCACCCTCCTCTGTCCAAGGCCCCTCCTTCCCCAAGGCCAAATGCTGGAAAGGAAGGAAGCTGAACCTCTGGCCCTTTATTCCCAACAGGAAAGTGCATCTGCATTGTGGAAAGGGCTGGGCGCCACTTCCTTGGGGGGAGGGGGCATACTCCCTGTGAACCCTGAGTCCTGCCCAATCCATCCAGGACTTTTTGGTGCTCAGGACACAGACGTGAACTAGATGGCCCCAACTTGGGGTGGAGAACAGGGTACGCAAATATGAATGCAGACAACATCACAGTGGTAAATCTGTGTTGATGGCTCTTCAGAAGAGGGTATGCACCTCTGCAGAGAGGTGAGAGGCCACAGGCTGTTGTGAGGGAGGTGTGTAGTGGGTGATGATGAGAGAGGGGTAGAAGAGCTATGAAAGCTGTGTTTGTCTTGAGAGTTAGAGAGGGCCATGGAGAGGACCACCGGCTAGTACTAATATAGTGGACCCCGGTTACCACCCAAATCCACCCTTCAGGACAACACCACTTGTTCCCCTAGCTGCCAGTAGTGTAGGTTGCTGAGATGTCACAGCTGAGTCTCTCACTTGAAGTTAGGGCACAAAGGCCTGGTAACCTTGCCTGGACATGGACCACCTTGGAAGGGCCACCCCAGTTTCAGTGCTGCTAATAGGATGGTCTGAGGCCTCGATTATAACTGTATCATGGTTTAATTCCCCCTTCTGCCCAATTTTGCACGTCTTACTCCCTTACAAGGGAGGATCCTCAATAAACTTCCCTGTGGGCAGATCCCTGTCTCAAAGGCAGCTTCACAGAGATCTTGACCTAAAATAAATGACAAATAATGATGGTATCAAACATAACAACATGGTACTAGCCAACACACGATCCTTCCTACCTTCCAGGAACTGATCTAAGTGCTTTACATATATGTACACATATGAGCATGTTTGCCTTGGTGGGAAAATGGTTATAACTCCCTGGTCTCTGAGCACTGCAGTATGGAGACAAGAGAAAGATGAGGCTGGGATCAGGGATGGGGAATGGGAATGGAGACAAGTGAGCAAGCTAGATGAAGTTAGTGCTTGCTGTTTTGGCAGGAAGTGAGGGACACTAATAGGGTCAGTAAACCCAAGACACTGGGACAGCTTCTAGGAGCAGGTTTGGGGAAATACATTGGCCTCATCAGGCAGCGTGGTCTCCTCTTCTGAAATGGGGACAGGCTGGGCAGCCAGGAAGGTTGTTGTGGCTCTCCCTTTACTACTCTCGGGGCTGTCCACCGACTCCCTCCACCTCCCTCTGCATTCTGTCTTCTCGCCCGGGATCCACGGATTGTTTTCGTCCTCTTCGGCGGTTGGACATTTGCTGATGGTCCCCGAAGTTTTGCTGCCGAGTCCGCAGAAAGGAATTGCGCCGGGTTCCCCGGGAGAGCGCGGAGCGGAAGCGGAAACGGCGACGCTGGCGCCGGCGGCCGGGTGGCCAGGAACGGAAGCGGAAGTGGCGGCGGCGCCGGCCTGGCCTGGCCTGGCTGAGGGAGGCGGCGGGCGGGAGCGATGGCGGAGGCCGGGCCACAGGCGCCGCCGCCCCCGGGCACCCCAAGCCGGCACGAGAAAAGCTTGGGACTTCTCACCACCAAGTTCGTGTCGCTTCTGCAGGAGGCCAAGGACGGCGTGCTTGACCTCAAGCTGGTGCGGCCTGAGCTAAGGGGCGACCGGGAGGATAGTGGACCAGGCAGTCCGGGACCGGTAGTGGGAACCCCCGGGGCCGTCCAGTTGAGCCCTCAGAGAGCAAGCTGCCATCGGTGCGCTTTCTCACGGGAGAGAGGCCGGGAGCTGTTTCATTCATTTGACCGAGGCCATTGAGCGTCAGCTATGTGACAAGCTCTGGGCTGCAGGTGAGGGTCCTCGTGGCCCTCCTCCGCTGGTGTGGGAAGAAGAGCATCAGAAGATCAGTTCAGACTGTGCCAGGCCTCTTCCTTCCCCGCGGTCCTGATCTGCTATGGTGCCTGGGAGAAGGGCTGGGACTCAGGACACCCCCTTTTCAGATCACTGCCAGACTGAGTTTCGAGGTAGCTGGGGGGACACCTGAGAGTGGGGCTGAGTATCCTGCGCTCTGTTCTGTCTGCCAGGCAGCTGACACCCTTGCTGTGCGCCAGAAGCGGCGGATTTACGACATTACCAACGTGCTGGAAGGTATCGGGCTGATCGAGAAAAAATCCAAGAATAGCATCCAGTGGAAGTGAGTGGGGGCACCTGGGAGGGCAATGGCATCTTTTACTCAGAAGTGTCAGGGGTGTGGGGAGGAGGACACAGGAGAGAGCAATGGCCATGGGACCCAGAGTTCCTGGCAGCTCCTCTAAGCCTGACTCCCTGGGCTCAGGGGTGTGGGGCCTGGTTGCAATACTCGGGAGATTGCCGACAAGCTGATTGAGCTCAAGGCTGAGATCGAGGAGCTGCAGCAGCGGGAACAAGAACTGGACAAGCACAAGGTGTGGGTGCAGCAGAGCATCCGGAATGTCACAGAGGACGTGCAGAACAGCTGATATCCTCCTGGCGGTCCCTGCTCCCGGGGAGTGGGCGAGGGGCCCTCTAGTCCAGCTGGGTTTGCTCTGTGGTGCCCTAGACACTGTCCTTCTTGGGAGGATGATCCTGCAGCTCCTGGCCAGGTCCCTGCCTTGGCATCCCTCCTCAAACTCAAAGCCCTTCCCCAACCATTCTTGGTCTGTGATCCTTCTCCATGTAGATCCCAAGGCCCAGGACTTTCTCTGAGAGCTTGTATGTCAGATCTCTGCTAAAGAGATGGGTTTTCTCTGTGGTCTGCTGTCTGTCACCATAGGCAGGGCATCAGCCGTTCTCCTTAACCCCCACACCTTGGCCTACGTGACTCATGAGGACATCTGCAGATGCTTTGCTGGTGAGCAGAGCCTGGGTAGGGGGCAGTGGGGGTGGGGCCACGCTGAGCCACAGCCCTGAGCAGTGGGCTTAGTGCCCAAGAAGAGTTTCTCTCTTAAGAGGGTTCCTTGGCTTGCCTAAGAGGGTTCCTTGGGCTTGCCTAAGAGGAACCAGGCAGGGTAAGTCCTGGATTTAAGGGTCATTGGGACCCCATGGAGGCAAATCATACTGAAAGCGTACAAGAATTTTGGGCTGGGTTCCTGGGTCAGTCCCCATCTGCATTGTTTCCTGGGTCTGGCTTCTCAGGCATGACAGAGGCATAAGGGGTCTCAGAGGATGTGTGTATACTCTTGCATGCTTCTCTCCAGGGAACAGTGGTGCTCACTTGCAACCTGTAGTTAGTTGCATTATAGATGTTCCTTCCTCCTTCTCTGCCTTGCATACTCTGCATTGTTTTGGGGAAGGAACATTGGCCTTGGCTTGAACATCTACTCCTAGGTAGCAGCCCCATCAATCAGGAAGTGAGATGCCCATGGCCAGCAATCCTTCGATACACATGTTTGAACCCAGATTTTCTGGTTCTGACCCTTGGGCTCTTGGTAGGAGAAAAGCTTTAGTTTTCTTCCCTGACCAGTGTGGGGTTTGGGTGAGGTTTACTGTCCTAAGAGACTATATTTTACTTTCTTGCTCAAAGGGATAGGCACCCCCATTCTCAGATTAGATTGAGTCATGGGCCCTGACCCATCCTTGTCATTCTAGGAGATACCCTTCTGGCCATCCGGGCCCCGTCGGGCACCAGCCTTGAGGTGCCCATCCCAGAGGTGGGTGCTAAGCCCAGGCAGGCGGGGTTGATTGAGGGCGGGTGCTGGCTGTGGAGCCTGATAAGTCCCGGGTGGGGCAGGTAGGGGGAGGCCTGGGTTTGGGGTTTATCTAGAAGGACGGGCATCTAGGGTGGGAGAGAACGCTGTGGTCCTGGCCCAGGGTCAGGCAGGAACCAAGCCTGCTTCTAATTCCACCTGTCCCCCATCCCCCACCTCTAGGGCCTCAATGGACAGAAGAAGTACCAGATTCATCTGAAGAGTGTGAGTGGCCCCATTGAAGTGCTGCTGGTGAACAAGGAGGCATGGAGCTCGCCACCTGTGGCGGTGCCTGTGCCACCACCTGAAGATCTGCTCCAGAGCCCGCCTGCTGTCTCTACCCCTCCACCTCTGCCCAAGCCTCCTCTGGCCCAACCCCAGGACACCTCACGCCCAAGCAGTCCCCAGCTGACCACCCCCACCCCTGTCCCTGACATCACTGAAGCCCAGGGGGTGCCTGGTCCAGCAACTGAGATCACAGGTGAGATATAATAGACAACTGGTGATGGGGTGATTTCTGGGGCCCAAAAGGCAACGCCTCAGTGTTGGGGGAGGTATACTCAGAGTTGGAAGAGACCCTGTGGGGTTGTCCTTTACCTGGCCTCCAGCTGGCCTCCCCTTGCTATGGTGGTGAATGAGCTCTTTTTAATAGGGAAGCTCTCAATGTATGAAGGGGTGTCAGTGGGTACAGTTCTCCCCAGCTCCACCTGTGTCTCACTTTCCCTGGCAGCCACTCTTAAAGTGTGGCCACAGCAGCCATGCCATCCTTGACTCTCCCTCCTGCAGGCCTCATGCCCCTTTCTCCTTCGGGAGCTCATTTCTAGGTCAACTCTGTGGCCTGGGGACTGGCCGTGCCTCTGTCCTTGGGCCTGGGAACCGGGGCTCTTGTCATCTTGACTATAGGTTCTAGCACAAAGCTTCTGTAACCTACTTCCTGCTCCCAAGTGACTGGGTTCGGGGGATCTGGTTGCAGTGAGTGGCGGCCCTGGACCAGACAGCAAGGACGGTGGGGAACTCGGCTCCCTCCCCCCGGTCCTGGCAGCCCTGGACACCCGGCCACTGCAGTCTTCCGCCCTGCTGGACAGCAGCAGCAGCAGCAGCAGCAGCTCATCCGGACCCAACCCTTCTACCTCCTTTGAGCCCATCAAGGCAGACCCCACAGGAGGTGAGTGTGTGTCCCCTGAGGGGCAGGGAGAACCCAGCCGCAGCCACTCCTAGGTCCGAAACAGCTGGAGCTGGAACCCAGCTCCTCTGTCTCCTGAGCCAGACCAGAGCTGGCCAGCCCAACAGCCAGCACCCCAGCCTCAACCCTTGCCTCGACCCCAGAGCTCTGCCAGCCTGAGTGAGGAGCCTGCCACCAGCTCAGCACCGGTGCCCCTTTGCTTCCCTTCCTGGGCTACCCAGAACTCTCGGGACCCTCTCATGCCTTGCCTGCCTCCCCTTGCACTTAGGGGTCAGGAAGGCATAACCACCATCCTGGGGAAGGGGCTATGGTAGGGCCCTCAGGTTCCAAACGTGGGGGCAGTGTCTTATTGGGGGAGG